GATAACAACAAACAAACATAGAGATAAATTAAAGTTAATTGTTCTGAATTTTATTTTTCGAGCTAAAAGAAACGAAAAAAAAGAAATGACTAGACTGAAAAATTCAGGACAGAAAAATAATGAGCAAACAAAATAATAATCTAACCGATTAGAAGCAAACATACTGAAACTGGATGAACAATATATACATATATATGATATTGTATGACGCCTTTTTTTACATAGATACAGATACATGTACAACATGAAGAGAATTAATGAAAAAAAATCAATCATCCAAACGAAATAGGTTCGAAGATGTTGTTGTTTTGAGCCCAAAAAATAAAATTTAAAATATTTCAAATTACTCACCAGGAAGAGTATCGAATTATTATTGCCTTGTCTTGAATATTTAATAATCACAAACACACCCTATTTGCCACACATCTCACAGTGTGATGTTGAGATGACGCACTGGCCATTTTTTTTTTTTTTTAATAACAAACCCAAAAAAAAGATGGAAGCCATTTTTTTCTTGGTTTTTTACATTTTTTTTCTGTTGGCCGTCTTGATTGGCAAGAAATAAATGTTTCAATGAATAAACTTTATAGCTTCCTTATTATATAGAATTTTCAACTTCCTCAATTGTGACTGTTTGTGTGTGTGTGTGTGATCACAATCTAGAAGTTGAAAAAAATAATAAAAATAAAAAAGGGGAAAATCTTTTTCTTTTTACTATTTGTTTGTGCTGTATAAAAAAAATTGTCTTCCGGGACAATCAATTGATGGACAATTTGATTTTATTTCATTGTTACACACACACAACAAATAATAATTAGGAATTAGAATTGAAACGATTATCATCTTGAATTGTTGAATGAATGAAAAAAAGAAAATTATTCATACATACCATCATATAGGTCAACATTATTTCTTTTATTTCAAATTAAACATTGGATGGAAAAAAATTTCAATCCAAATATCAAATAGAATTGAAATGATTTGTGAACAGAACAACAAAGACAAACATATAGAGAGATAGACACAACAACAACGATTTATGTGTTTAAATGTGTATTCTTTATCCCATACCTTTGTCTTGTCGTCGTTTTGCCATTGGATATACAATAATTTGCTAATCGACGATGCAATTATGACCGGCCTTAGTCGTCTTTATCATTTGGAAACTCTTGATTATATAGAATTTATTTATTGAAAAATTCTACCAGGTATTCTATACAAAATGATCATCTGCCTGTCTTTGTGTTTTAAATATTTTTTTTTTCGTTCATTTTATGAAAAGAACTTTATGAAAAAAGGTAGCAATTTTAATTTAAATATAAACGAAAAAAAATCCGATACATTCGGCCAATTTGGCAGCTTCATTGAATGAATGAATATATCATTTCTTATTGGTCGATTGTTGTGAATGGCGTGGTTGATCTGCTTGTTATTTGTGTATGTTTGTATATGTATATATCACACACACACACACATATATATACAAATAAAGATATCCGTGTATACATAGTTGCGCGTAGCTCTTCAACAATAATTGTAATTTGTCGTATTTTTATTTTTCTCCCAATTCATGTTTGAGAACACCATATATACACACACACACACACACACACACATTCAATATATCCATGTATCTATGAAGAGGCGCCTATCAACCCAAAAAAAACGTCGTTATCATCAACATCATCTTCATTGAAATAACAACCGAGACGAAACAACGAAACGAGCGAAAAAAAAATAATCAAAATGTACATAGCTAGGCAGCCACAGACAAAAAAAAATGAGAAGAAAAAGCAACGACGACGACGACGACAAAAAATAGAAAGAAAAAACCTACTATGAGACCTATAATCAAAGATATATGTTATATATACACACAAATACGAATGTAAATTGAAATCTAAATTAACAAAATAAAACTAGCCATTTTTAATGGGAAATGAATTTTTTTCACGATTAGAATCAGGAATTTAGTTGTTGGCTAAGATTAAACAGTAAACAAATGAAAGAATTTCGAAAACAACAAAGTAAAATGTTTGAAATGTAGAAAAAAAATTGTAAATAATTCTAAAAATGTAATCTCAAGTGAACGTATATTTATAGATGAATTATTCGTTTGTCTTTCTTCAAAATTTGGAATAAAAAAATCTAGAATCAGGAATAGATGTTAGTCAATACTATCATTATTGAAATGTTGATGAAGAATTGAGAAAATATGATAAAATTAAAATTAAATTAATATATTAAAACAATAAAACTTACGAATTCTATTGGAATAAAATTCCAAAACTTTTTGAAGAATAAACTTTTTATATGCATGATTCTGAATAGAATCGGATAGATAGTTGAAAAATGAATCAACAATTTTACGCGTATGGATTTCATCAACGAATTTCATCAATTATTAGAAATCTGAAAAAACCAAAATAAATTAAAAATATGTGTATATGATATTCTTTAGGATATATTACCAGCTTGTTGTTGTAACATCGTTGCACCATTTTGTATAATCGGAAATCGTAATCACGTAATATCCGAATTATAATTCAAAATGGCCCATAAGAATTTCAATTGCCAAAAAGAGATAATAATAGTGTTCATGTTCAATCACAAGATCAAGCCACAGCTGTATGCACAAATATATAGATTCACAATTTCATTGAATTGGATTCGATGCGTGTTTGTGTAGCTTTAAACATCAAAGTTGTGTTGTATTATGATGATGGCAATGAAGAACCTATAGTAAAACAAGAAATAGAAAACGAAAGAAAAAAGAATATAATCATATGAGTTTACAATGGTATTAATAATAAAAAAAACACAACAACGAATGTACAAAATTATGACGCATCCACCATTACCATTACCACCATCAATATCATTTATTATCATTGTGAAATAAATGTTACACACATACACACACACCCTATGAATCAACGAAAAATTAATTCAATCACCAAACATCAAAGTGGTGGTGATGATTATGATGATGATGATGATGGTAATTATAACCAATCAAACCAATAATTGATGATTTAAAGTTCATAAATCTTTAAATAATTTACATTTCAATTAACTAGAATTATTTAAAAAAAAAATAATAATCAAAACATACCAGGATTGTTGTTGAAGATGAAATTTTCAACAAATAAAAAAAAATTCATTCACCAATTTATCGACGCCATTTGTTTAAATATTTTCATGTACGTTCCATGAGTCGAATGTTAATGTTTAGTATGTGTGTGTGTGTATGCTTCCATTTTTTTTTGGTTTATACTGGTGAGATTGGGTGGTTTGTATAGAGACAACATACATTAAATTACTCTCTTCTGGTTTGTAATAATAATATAACAGTATACTTTGGTGTATATGTGATGGTAACTGGAAACACATATAACATACATACACACACACACACCACACACATAGAGACAAACGAACAAAGTGGCAAATGCAATCAATGATTGATTCACAACAATTGTGACGTTCAAAGATGAAAAATAATGGATGATTTGTGATTGTATCTTATTGTGAAAAAAAACGGATGAAGAATAATTGAATTTGAATCTTGTATAAAATATCAAAATGGATTACAAGAATGTGGACAACAAGAATTCATGATTTTAGTTTCAATAAATTCTGAATATAGAATTTAAAAATATATTTTGTGTTATTGAAGAATTTCAAATATTCATGGCAAGAATTGTTATTATCAAGTCAAATACGATGTTGAATATGAATGCATTGAATAAAAATAAATTCTTCATCATCAGTGGCAAATATTCATTGGAAACCAACAATATGGATTAATCATTTATCACGATTCATAAATTCGATTAATTGGAATTATTATCTTGATGAAATATCATTCATTCACAATGAATAATCGATTATCTTTCGATATATAGACATTAAATCATCATCAGGTAATAATTATTTATTCCATTAGTAATTTTTTTTTCATAATATTCATTGTTCAGAAACACAGAAAATCCATGATCCGAATATAAATTCATTACTTTTATAGGAATTTAAAATTTTAGTCAATTTTGATTGGCTGAATGTCATCGTATGAATTGTGTTTATAATCATCATCATCATCATCATCAATAACAAAAGATTCAATGCTTCATTTCTGTAATATATTTAAATCAATTTGAATAAAAAAAAAGCAGGCGGTGCTTAAAAATGTTTGTCAATGATGATCTGTATTCAATAGAAATTGTTTGTTTGTATGTTGAATAAAATTATTCAGTAATTATGTCATATGAACAAATGATGATAATTATCTTAATGATAATTGATGATTTAAATTGAAGATAAAATCGATTTTGAAATTAGATCATTATGATGAAGGATAGATTCGTGCAAAAACATTTGTTGATGAAGAAATTTTTTTTTAAATCCAAATAAAAATAAGGTCATCATCATATGTCATCATGATATGTACATGGAATCATCCATCCATATAATCTCATTAGTATTCAATCAATAGAATTTTCATTAAAATAAAAGTTGGTCATAATTGAAAAAAAAATCTTCAAGTCATAATTTGAATATAGATTGATCGATTAATTTGAGATTAGTGAAAATGTTATTATTCAATAATTCATCGATAATTGATTGATGATTGATTGAATGAAATTCAATTGTTTATCGATTATGATTCTGAATTTTGTTCGATTGATGTTTGCTTGAATTGATTTGTAATTATAATCAAATGTGAATACAATCAATGATTAGGTTCAATGAACGTCCTTGACCTTGAGAACGTTAACGATTCTATGATGCCCATAAAAATTTCGAATAAACATTTTAATATAGAATAATTTTCATTTGTCAATTTTTCAAGTAGAATTCTTCAGATCAAATTATTCAATTCTATGAAATAAACGATAATTTTGCAAACGTGTGTGTGTGTGTGTTGTTAACGAATAAAAAATTTCTTGATATTTTTTGGAGAACAATACGAATGAAAAGAATCAGACAGATTGTCATAGATGATACAAGTTGATGAACGATGAGAGAATGAACAAACATGAATGAATATTACGTATTCGATGCACAGAATGTAAAGTATCATGCCTAGATTCGGAATGAAAAAAATAGCTGTTAGTAAATGAAAGTTTAATAATTATTTCTGATTTGAATCACATATCACCAAAATGAATTGAATGAAGTGATGAAAATGAAATGACCATACATTTTTTGTCTCAAACGGAACAAGTGTTTGATATGTGTAAGAGTCGATTGATTTGATGGTTGTTGAACCTTATATTAGTGGCTAAGTATGGTACACACACACATACATACGAAGAAGGAGAAATGAACCAAAAGAATGCGAACAAATTTGTTGAACCAGCCACCCTAATTTTCATACATTACTGAAAGCATTTATACGCAGGCACCAGAAAACAGAGTAAAAAAAGAATCCGGTAAAAATAAAATCTTTGGCTACTTCTACTGATTGTGGTGGTGGTGGTTGTCATGTGTGTATGTATGTTTTTTTTTTTTTTTGTATGAATAAAGCATACATTTGGGACAGACCCATTTTTGGGTGGAGGTTGTTTGATGTGATGTAAATGCATTAAGTATTGCGTGATTGTGTTTGAAGGCATTTGGCCGAATTTGAACTCTGCAACAAGAACAAAAACAGCAAAAAAAAAAATTTGCCAATGACAAAAGAACAAAAAAAAATAAACTCAAGGATAAAGATGTTCGGTATGTGTGTATGTATGTCTAGATGAGAAAGAAAGAATACTGGATTTATATTATCACAAACCGATAATAAATTCTAGTATATCGAATAGTGAAGGTACAATAAAGTTTATATATCATCTGTGTGTGTATGGATCTAATAGACGCCAACGCCCTAAAGTCATGATGTGTTGAACTTTTCACTTTCACTTTTCACTCAATTCTCTATAGCACGTATTCCTATATACTTCAAAAAAAAATTCAAAAATTTTCAATCACATGATTACAAATATTTTAAGAGACATCTAATATAACTTATGCTGATCATGATTATTATTCAATGACAATGAGAACTTGGTTAGTAACAACAAAAGAACATGACAAGATTATTAGCAATTATATCATGGTCATGATCTCTTTCGGTAAGTGTATATTTGTCTGTTGTGTCTGTGAAATGATAATGATCATCATATCATGATGAATGAAAAAAAAAACTGAATCAATATTGCGAAGTGTCTGTGTATAATGGATGCTTGTGTGTTTGTGTATGTGTGTATGAAGTAGAATGCATGAATAAAATCAACAATAACAAAAAAAAAATCCAGTCAGTTGTAGGTAGATGAAGGTTAGGTATTCGTATGAAAATGATAACGAACAAACAAACAAACAAAAAATTTGTTTGATCGTAACCGATAGCAACAACAAAGTGATTCGATTCGAATCAATCAATCCGGTTGAGATATGATAAATCTGGTAGACAAATTTCAAATGAAACAAAAGAAAAAAAATTAGAAATTCAGAGTTCAACAAAAAAAAATGAAAGTATTTAATTGAAAGATGTTTTCAATTAAAGGTGTATATACTACAAATACGAACCGACAAAAAAAAATTTTTTGTTGTTGTTGTTGTCGTTATTTAGAAATTAAAAAATATAATTAATGGACGATTATTATTAATGAATGTCGATAATGATCATGATCATGATATGATGATGATTATTATTTGATGGATGTAAATTCATTTTAAATTCTTGCGGCGGCGTTGTATAGTTAGGTTACTCTGTGCATATAATAATAAATTGGTAGTGTGTTGTCGTCATTTATGATTGTTGTGTAGTCTGTTATAAAACAGAAAAATAATTTATCAATCAATCAAAAACGAAAAATTAAAACAATTTTCAAGCAATTAATTTGATAAAATTTGATGATGATTCTTTTTTGAGTTTGAGTGTGTGTGTGTGTGTGTGTTTGTATTTTTATTAAGAATAAATATCTAAAAGAATAAAAGAGAAAAAACAAAAATTAATTTTTAGAATTATAAAAATTATTTTAAAAAAATGTTCATTATACTTACAAAAAAAAGTGTCAGTTCAAGTTATGCCGTTGTGTGTTGTTGCAAATAATTAATTAATTGTGATGTGAAAAATTTAAAAATTCAAACATTAACCCACTACCCTCTGGTAACACAAAAACAGCAAAATGAACACAGAGTTCTATAATGATAAAATTTTCTGAATAGAACCAAATAATAAGATGGAAAAAGAAATGAAAAAAAAATTCAAATGAATTTGTCGACAAAAAAAAACAAATCACAAACACAAAGTAAAGTTTTAATTTCAAATTAAAAAATTCTTGTCCATTGTTGTTGTTGTTGTTGTTGTTGTGTATTATGTGCATAAATGAAGAAATATTGAAAAGTTGAAAATTTGTTCAAAAAAAAAAAAAAAATTTAAACAAAAATATTGAATTCTTTCAATTACCATGATGATCATCAATGTTGGTGACGGTCATCGAATATTATGGTGAGGTTTGATGTTTAGTACGGGGCACAAGTGTTTGTCGGTATGTGATTGTGTGTGTGTGTGTCTGTGTGTTGGATTTTTTTTTCTTTTTTTTTGTTGTCTTTTATTTGCTATCGTGGTTTTTCACTATTATACTTTATTTAATACGAGTCAACGTCGTCGCTGTTGTTGCTGTTGTCGCTGTAGTCGTTGCACTTGATTGTTGATGATGATGATGATGCTGATGATGTCAAAAGCCTATGATGATGGACCAACCAACCAAGCACCACCAACACCACCACCACCACCACCATGAATACCATTACAAATACTATACATACGTAACAAAATAAATGAAAGAAATGAATAATACAAGAAAAAGAAAATTTCTTTTGACCACTATCGATAGTTGTTGTTCATCTTCCACTTCTTTTTCTCTTGATTAATTTTCATTCACAATTCAATTCAATTCGTTGTGTCTGTGTTAATGGTGATGTTCTAAATATAAATACAAACAAAATTGGGTATAGTGTTGCTGTGAGCTTCACAAATAGACGATTCTCAAATATAATTTACAGGATACATGTAGTGTGTGTGTGTGTGTGTAAAGGCAGCCAATTGTGGGCTACTATTTTTCTCTGATTTTTTTTCTTTCTTTTTTTTCATTTTGGCGTCATTGGATTCGACGCCGTTGAATAAATGGTGTGGTCATGGTTAGGTATATGAATATTATCCTTTGAAGATGACTTTGTGGCACATGGTCTTTGTATATATGTTGTTGTTTATGTGGAATATAGCTGCGACTGCGGCTTTCCAAATGGCCAAAAAGCATTTATGAAGATAAGAAGAAAAGAAAAAAACGTTGATTGTGAAATAAAATGAGAATGTGATATGGATTTTATGGTCGTTTTTTCTGATGGTGGTAGCAATAGAAATGATGATGATGATGGTTGGAGTTTTCGGTTGCTTCATAAGATTTCTTTCGAGATATATCAAAAAGGTTACCACCCTTTTTTTCTAATCATAATTGCTATATATGTGTAAACTTGTCTTTTTTTTATCATTCTACAAGCTTTATTCTAGCATTTTCTACACATGTATTCGAGACAAAATCATTACCATTCACATTTTCGAAACCAGTAATAAATGTTGATCATCACCATCATCGTTGTCGTCATCAGCGACGTAACGACAAACTGACATGGTATAAAATGTGTATAGAGAAAAATTGCTTCGTTTTTTTTTGGATGAATTGTGTGATTTTAGCGATTGAAGTATATGAGAGATATAAGCATCAAAACAAAAAGAGAGAAATAATGGTTTTGTATATCTTTGAAACGAATACAAACGTAATATAGAAGAGAGAGAGAGAGAAAGAGAAAAAAAACGAATCTAGTTAGTTTTTTGAAGTTGGTTTTATGAATTAGGCAATATTATTATATACATACGGCTAAATGATCCAAACATCGTCGACGTTGTTCGTTTGTCGTCGACGGGATATGATGATGATGATGTTCAATTTAGATTTCGTCATATTCAGCGTATATATTTACTCGTTGATAGTGTGTTAGAATTGAAGAGTGAAAGTTTTTCGTTTGAACACAGTCTGTCTAAATCTTGGAACATTTTTTTTTTTGAATACAATTTTGATATTGAAATTTTTTCTTTCCCAAGAAACAAGAATTCTAGATAGAAGAAAAAAATTGAACATTAAAATTTTGTGTTAATTTTTTATTTTTTGTATCTCAAACCCGAAAACCTCGAATATCCTCGAACAAAAACGGCCGCCCTTTTTTTCACGAACAAAGTTTACACCCCAAAATTGCTATTGGCTAAATTGACTGTTGCTATAGCTCATTACATCGAAATCAAGTTGTCGTCTTTGTTGATTTTGATCATTCAAGATTGGCTGAAAAATTGTTATCATCTCTTTACCATTGATAGATGGATGTTTAAATTGTTTAGATTTTCTGTCTGTCGGGCTTTCATTTAGTAACAATGTATAATTTTTTCAAATGCGAAATTTAATTTCATGTTGATGACGACGATGAGAGCGTAAATTCATGATGTGCAGCTGGCGCAATCAATTTTTCAATTGTAATTCAATCTGGTTTTTTAATGAAAATATGCTAGAAAGTGTTGTCTATTCTTGATTGAAAAAAAATTCTTGGTAAAATTTTGATTGATGAATGAAATGGATGGATGACCCCTTTTGAACACAGATTTTTTTTCGTTGTCTGGTTTTGAATTTTTGATTCCAGTGTATCATTATAGTTTCATAGCAATCATTATATAATGATGATACGGTAGGATAATCCAAAATTACTTCTACGAAAAAATTGTTTTTTTTACAATTTTCCTGTGTGTGTGTGTGTGTTCACAATGTTAATTTCATTGTCATCATCATTACAGGTCATAGACCATTTTTAATCGTGCGAATGAATTTATTGTAAGCAATAATTTTTTTTTTCATTTCTTTTAGCCACAACGTTGCAAAAAATGATAATTTAAAAAATTCAACCCACCACCCACTCCATCCACGATATCCCATTCATGGTGAATAAATGAATTTCATTTGTTATTTTTGGACAGAAAAAAAACAAACTATTCTTTAATTCATTTCTGAAACTGGATGACAAGGAAAATGAAAAAACTTTATGAATGGCCTCAAATAAAAACAATTTTTCAGAATATTTTGAAATATTTACATTGCCATTCATTATTATCAACCAAACCGAATTTCAATCGGTCTTTTTTTGTTTGGTCTTCGGAATCAATTTTGCCATGCTGTGTATGATCGTCGTCTTTGTTGATGTATACATCCTCCCTCCTGAATAAGGTTGTTTTCTCCACTCATTCAAACACACACACACAGACATCTCCATACACAAATATCACGCAACATAAAGATGCAATCCTTTGAAGACATAATTTTTTTCTCTTTCTTTTTTTTCCAAACGTATATGGCCATCGACACCAGACAGTGGATTTTTTATTTTATCTTTCTACTTTCTCATCATTGAATAAATTGCCATTATGATTACAGAAAAAAAACCATTATGAATCGGTCGAGTTTTTAGTTGAGATAATTTTTTTTTCTTAGTTTTTGGCGCGGTTTTTGCTGAAAACGAAAGTTTTCTTTTTTTGTTTTTTTTTTTTTGGTTACCAAGACATATTGGACAGCAACAAGGTTGAAATTTTAACCTTGAAAATAAATCATTTACTATTCACATTGATTAATTAATCTATATATATTTATTTTCATTATAAAAAGACATTTTAGCCTTTTTTCACTGGAATTAAACTACTACTTTCACTATGATTTTTTTTATGTCTGAAATATGCTAAAAAACAAAACAAAAAAAATGATGTTTCCTCGAAACTACCAAGTTGATAAAAAAACCATTTGATTGATAACAAGAATTTTTTTTTTTGAAACAAACAATTTAAAACAACAACAAAAAGAAGCCATACGATGATGAAAAATGAAACATTGATTATGAACTGACTTTTTTACTATTCTTTTTGTATAAAATTCAAAAAAATTCAAATTTTTTTTTTGCAACGTATAAAAAAACGTATCGATTGTCCATCCGTTTCATATACGTATAAATGTTGTCCATTATTATAAACAGGAAAAAATTGAATTTCAATGGATGAAGAAAAAATGAACAACAAGAAGAAAACAAGACGGATCTAGATTTTCAACTTTAGTTATTTTTCTTGATCCATATTTTTTGTCCGATTTTTTTTCATAAACTTACATTCGATGATCGATGGTTGATGATGATGAAATTGAATTGAAAAAAAATTGAAAAATAAATTAAAACGCGCATAGAATTAATGGATACAATTTTTTTTTTTTTTTATTTTTTCATCAGCCATTTTTTTTTTTTTTTTTCTATAATTTTTCATAATCAAATATTTTTTTTTATCATCATTATCACATATAATATCAATCATTAGCATAATTATAAGGTTTCCAAAAAAACAATGACATGTTTTCCTCTGCTTTTCATCAAGTGGAAAAAATTACAGCTGCAAAAACGGTAGATTCCCTGGATGATTCGATTGAAATCAACAGCGTTCAGATTTCAGATGCTATATAGACATTGTGTTGGCGACGGTTATATGTAGAATCCGAAATAAAAAAAAATATTCTCGAATAATCATTCACAAACGGCACAGAATCGTTGCCAAGAATAGAAAAAAACGTATACGATGATGAGTATGAAATGTAGCAAAATTGTAGCAGAAAAAAATATAAATCAAACAAGTTCTTTTTTTTTTTTTTGCTTTGATACAATTTCATTTCCATATATATAATGAGAATCTTGGTTGATTCATTATTCGATATGAATTGCTTGTTATTTTGATCTGGATTATATCACAGTAAGGATAGGAGAGAGAGAGAAAAAAAGCACAGAATTTGAGTATCAATGAATAATAATGATTATTTTTATAAATCCAAAGCACACACAAAACAAACAAATGAGCAATAAGGATGATGGTGGTTTTTTCAGTCATTCATCAAACGCCAAAAGTTTTTTTTTCATTGGTAGCAAAATTCTAGATAATAATTAGGATGATGATGATTATGATGATGATGATGAATAGAATAAATGACCAATTTCATAATAATAAACTTTTTTTACACAATATGATAAATAGACGTGTGTAAAAAAATCATTATGAGTATTGGAAACACAAACAAAACAAAACCAAAAAAAGGTTATTGAACGGTGAGAAGATTAGTAAAAAAAAAATTACAGAACTTTAATTAAATGGAATCGATCCGGTTGAAATCAGTTGTTTGATTTAATGAAGATTACAAAAAAAAATTGCTATACACACACACATACAATGTGAGATGTGATCAATCGATATGAATCTTTTTTTTTGTTTTAGTTTTCATTCTAGAAAAATTCACAGAAAAAAAATAATGAATAAAAACATTTTGTAATCTGTGGTCGATGGCCTAATAAAAGTGGCATTTACAAACACACAAAAAATTTAACATTCACGAATATAAAGCGCCATTAACACACACACACACACACACACACTGGAATTCAATGATATAAATCTTGATTTCAACGATCATCATCATCAACCATCGAAGAATGTAGTATATATTTACATTATTGTCATTAGTTTGTATTTTATTTATTAAAAAAAATAAAAAAAAAATTTTCATTTCACAATCTGATCACTTTTTGAAAAAAAATAATTTTTTTTACTCAAACAATAATGAAAAAAAATCAATGAAAAAAATGTAGCAAAAAATAAAAATCTGAAGTAATGCGCCGAATCTGTAGGAAAAAAAATGCTACATATACATTTTGGCTACATTTTTTTATTTTTGTTGTTGGCTGGCTGGCTGGTTGGCTGGCTGGCAAGCAGCAATGTATGAATGAATGCATGGATACTTTCAACAGGAATGACAACATTGCTGTCGCTGTTGTTGTTCAATAATGATTAAAGATGATGATGATGATGATGATGATGGCAATGAATGCAAATGATGACTACTATTTTGTTCGAATTCGAATGAAGGATATTTTTTTTTTTTTTTCGATTTTTTCCATGTAACTTTTTAGCTCTTTTCAAAATGCATCTACTTTTTCTCTCACTCTTGAAAAATAAAAATTGGAAGCCAACTTTTTGTTTTGTATATATCACATACATAATGATAGATATAGAAATTTCGGATAGAGATCATTGCCAAAATTTTGTTGTGGTTGTTGTTCACTTCAGAACGTACTCAAAACAATCGACAAATGTGAAACAACAAAAATTTTTTCCGGTTCTTTTTTTGGATTCCATTTTTGTTGTTGTTGTTGTTTTTCTTGCTACTATTCGGTACATTATTTGGAAAAAAAAAAAAAAACTCTTTCATTCGATTGAAGAGAAACCAGAAACGTGTATAGAGAGAGAGAGAGAGAGAGAGAGAGAGAGAGATGAATTAAAGTCAGTCAGGAGAGAGTGAGAGAGACAGTCAATTATGATGATGATGAGGATTTTTTGAGACGGAAAAGTCGTTGACCAGACTGAACATTTTTTTTTGAAAGTTTTTTTTTGAATCAGAAAAAAATGAGCAGATTCAATGACGAAAAAAAGAAGAAAAAATGGCGGCAATTTTTTTCTTGTTCGTTTATGATGTACTCGTGATGATTTTCAATTTCAATTTATGATGATTATCACACTAGGAATTTGAATTTTTTTGTTTATTTGTTTGAAGGTTTTATACGGAAAAAAAGAAAAATTTCGTAGAACGTTTATCACAGAAAAAAAGGTCACACAATTTAGAAAAAAAAGCTTAATCAGAGATATCGGAATATATTGTTGATTCAAAAATGGATAAAAATGTTAGAATTTTTTCATACAAAAATCCGATATCTATCGGAAATTTATATCGATGACTAAATTGGCCAAAGAACCAAATCAAAATGGTGGATTGTACGTTGTTTTCGATGTTAGAGTGTATGTGAAAATGATAGAACAAAAAATAAAAACAAAATGAACTAAATGTTGGCTGTGATGTGTGTATATGTCTATGGCCCAATGTATGTGTGTGTGTGTGTGACCTCAAATCAAGCCAAATGATTATACACATGATCCCGAGAAAAAGGAAGAAGAAAAAGAAAATGAAGAAAAAAGGATGAAAGAGAATGTAAAATAAAGGGGAATCTCATCCAATAGACACATCTATACATGGTGTGTTTGTGTAGAAATGTATGTCTGAATCAGACTAGACAACCAATGCAGACTTTTATATTTTGTACCGTACAATAATAACAATAATATTGGAGAATCAACCGACCAGACATATCAACAAAAAACTAGGTCAGGTAGAAGCATGCATGACCATAGAATTTGATAAAAAGCCAAAGTTTATTAGTGGTGGGAAACAGAGGGCAATGATGCTGAAACAAAGATGAATAGCCTCATATTTAGATTATTATCATTGATTGAGAAAAACATGTAACTTTGTATTTAATTCTGATGATGAAAATATGAAATTTTTTTGCTAAAAAACTATTATAAAGAATATAGCCGTCCGGAATCCATACCGTTTTATCCTTATATTCTATGCACATTTGCCCTACATTTATTCGTGACCTAGACTCTATTGAATTTGTCCACCTTGCTTTGTAGTAGATTCGATAGACATCTCGGTGAAAATGTCAGCCAAGTTCATTACTCCCGAATTTACTATGTGATAGCGGCGAAAAAAAATACACTGCACTCATGAACAATGTGTGAAGGAGTCCAAATTTTCATGCAATATGGACCAGGGCTCGATTCTTGTTCGAACGTTTTTTGTCATCTCAGATTTTCATGATTATGTTTTTTTTTGTAAATTATCATGGAAATTACACCTTTTTTGAGATTAAGCCATATGGTTAACCTGTTTGAATTAATCTGTTTTGAAATCTAGGAAATGCAAATTTTGCAATAATAAACATGTAATAAATGGCCGTTCTTAATTTCATTTTCGTTGTCCCCCGTCTGCCACCATCATCATCATCATCATCATTATCATGATCTAAAAAAAATTGCCAGACGCCAGACGATCTGACCCAGACAGTCTGACCTAAAAACATTCACATTTATGCCGCCCTGAATGTATATATGGTTGAAGAGTTTCAATACTATTGTCTGCCTACACAATCGCAAACAAAAAGAAGGAGAGAGAGAGAGGAAGAGTTTCACTTTTTTTTTATCAACAAAAAAAAAAAATGAATAAGGCGGCCTATCGAGCATGGCTCCCAATGTGATTTAACGAATGAGAAGAGGGATGAATTTTGTGATAGGGGAAATAATCGAGTTCGGTCATTGACTGTCTGGATTTTTTTTTTCATTACATGATGTCCTCAGAAAATTTGCGCACGCGTAAAATAACGTGTCTGGAGTTCCAATTTTTTTTCAAAATCTTTATTATAAATGTGTGTAGAAATTGTATTTTTAATGGATACAATTGTGTACACTTTCTAACGCGGGATTTTTATTTTATTTTTCAATCTGAATTTTTGGTTTGTTCTGATAAGAAAAAAAAATTGTGCTTTTCCCGTTCACACATTCATGTTTATTGAAAAAAAAGGTCAGAAAATATGTGGAACCTTAGAATTTTTGCGCAATGAACTCAGAAAAATGGAATTTAAGAAAAAAAACGAACTTTGCCGAATGAAAAACATTTTTTTTTTTTGAGTTGGTGATGTTTATTCGTAGGGTGAACAAAAACTACCATCAATAAAATGTAAAATATCATATAAGATTGAAAAAAGTGTAATCGTTTTTGAGACTTTTGAGGATTGAGGCCATCAGACATAGTGATACTAATGGTTTATTTGAATTTCAACAAACGAAATGATCATTAGTATCATGTATTTCTTTGAATGGATTTTTAAGTTTATTAATGATAAATAAACACGAAAACGAAAAGAAATTTAAAAAATTCACAAAACTCCAAAATTCATTATTCTTTAATTCATATGATAGATGGATATGAATGGTTCATATATGTTTTTTGTACATCCATATAATTATTATTTGGAAAAAGTCCTTGAACGAACAGTAGACAAGAGTAATATTTTCGATATTTTTTTTTATCACACAATAAGAACATTAAAAAATGATGATGATGATGATGATGAATTCACGCATATAGCTAAAAAGTGTGAATTTAAATCCAAAATGTCCTTCAACAATTGCTACATTTTTAGATAGCAGAATGCATTTTGGATATGAACTTTGGATATTGTTATGAAGATGGTATAGTAGTGGTACTACTGGTATATACTATAGTATCCAATTCGTTCAATACACATGCGTATTTGGTCGGTTAGTAACAAGACAACAAAATAATATACAGATCAGAATTACCAATGAATGAATGAATGAAAGAATCAGGTTCTTCTCATGCCAGAAATGTGCTGCTATCCACAAAACAATCGATTGTATTTGAACACACGATTTCGCTACATTTAGCACAAATCATCATCATCATATACTATTCTTTATATAAAGTGAAAATGTGATTGCGCATTGTATACAAAATGTGGATAGTATTCGAATCATTATCATCATATTGAAAAAATGGCAGTAAAAAAAACCAATTTTATTATTACTTCTGTAATGAACCTAAAAATGTTGGATGGTGGATAAATGGTTGTTTGTTTGTTGCCAACGTCAATGATGGTTCATCATCGTTGGTGTTGGCGAACCAGACTAAAGAAAAAAAAAGGGTTATTGAACTTATCGTTGTTTGTTGGATTTTATTTTCTTTTCATTAGCTTGTGATTCTCAAATATGTTCGTACATGCGTGATAATTTTTTTTTTTTTTTTTTTATTTTTTCCAACAACAATGGCAATACGATGGTGATAATGTGTACATTGGAATGTATTGGTATTTCAAATCATCGTGGACATCGACATTAAACATGAAAGAAAATTTAGTGGAATTTTAGTCAATTTACTAAATTGATGAAATGGTAACGATTAATAAAATAATTTTTTTTCCACTATAAAACATCAGAAAAAAAAACAAAAAGTAAACGAACAGATAATAAAAAAAACGACAACAACAAAGGAGAAAATTCTAAAACAATTCAATGGCAATTCTGAAACCTTTTCTATGCGATCAAACGATCATCAACCAAAAAAAAAAAAAAAAAAAAAAACACCAATAGTCCCAATTAAAACAAGAAAAAAAGAAAGAAAAAAAGTCAACGAAGCAAACCAAAAATTTTTAAAAAAAACCCAGGAGAAATAAAATCATTCGAGTTTATTTTATTTTTTTTTTCCTTATGGGGCATTCTTTTTCTTTCCTTTAATGTAGCCATTTCATTAACATCCATATATGCATCAACTGCTGCTATTGAAAACCTTGAAAAGGCCAAAGAACCTTGGACAGAATTTATTATTGCACTCAAAACACATACACGCACACACATGATAATAAATTTAATAGCTAGGGAAAAAACTTAGGGAACCTTTTTTTCCATAATCGTCCTTGAATTCCCAAAATTTTTTTTCTTTTTGCCTTTTACCAAGCATAACATAAATGGCTACAGTAGCACAGATGTTGTTGATGGATACATTCAACCGAGAAAATAAAGTTTGTGATTCAAGCCATTTTCATTATTAAATTTTTTCCTTTGCTTGGAATGTTGTCATTGAATGGGTAAATTGTCTGTTTATCAATAAATTTCATTGCTGCATGCATTGCTTTGATTGTTGTTGCTGGGTAATGTACAAAAATTTTGATAACTCTAAATTGAAAGGAAAAAATCATTCCATTAAATAATAATGTTGAAGCATTGAATTCATAATCCAAATAACCTATCAATTGGTTCATTCGTGCAAATAGAATTCCCTTGGGCCGTTCATCATGAAATGAAAATAACGAATATAAAGAAATAATCAGATTCTGATTCAAAATTTTTTTTCTAGTTGAATGAAAATATATTGGTTAGGTAAATCTCAGATCTCATCTCAATCGATCGCATTATTTGCATCGATTATATGCGTTTGTGTGTGTGTGTGTATGGAAAGATTTCTAGATTGCCATAATTTCAAATACACTTTAAGAGTTGAAAGATTTAATATTCAGTATATGGCATTGAATCGACATTGATTCACATCATCATTATCATTATCGTATATAGCCAATCAACAAGCCACCAGATCTCACCATCTTTCTCATTCACATTCTACGATGACGGTACAATAATGGTTATGATCGTCCGACGACAACAACGAACGAAAGACCAACGACCAACTGCAAGGTCACACCATATCTTTGCCGCCATCACCATCATTATTGTTGTTCATTTTTAGTTGAATAAAAATAAATTATGTGGTCACAAAATTCCAAAAAAAAAAAAAAAAAATAATGTGTGAATTTTTTTCCTGATGAAAAATTTCGATATATTTCTAATATTTTGAAAAAATTTCTCACTTTTTTTCCGAAAAAAAGATTAAATGTACAAAATAGAATTCAATAAAATATATATAATACTGAATAATCAAGATTACGAAATTTTCTTTTTTTTTCATAAAGAATAGGTTCGTGAATATTTTTGTGCGTTTTATTCAATTGAAATTCATTCACATTTTCACAAAGAAATTTCCCATGAGACATAAGAATATTCGTGTTTTCCTTTCCTTTGTTTCGGGATCAGAAAATAATTTTTAGTGTGTGCGTGTGTGTGTGTAAACATACAAGGTACACAAAGGATTTTTTTTTTTAATTCTCGGTACAATTTATTCGCCTGGTTTTATTATATTTTTTTGTTCGAATCATCTTTGATTTAGTTTACCACTATCGCTGCCACAAATAAAACAACAAACAAACATTATGGTAAATACAAAATCTATATGGATCTTTTCGGTCTTCGAACCCTAGTCATGTGGCAATATTAATATTTATTATTTTTTTCTGAATAAAATGATATAATTCTTGCAATTTCTTTTATTTCCAAAAAAAAAGTTTAGAATTGTACGAATCGATCTCTTTGTTCTTTTTTTTATGTTGAAAGATTGATATTAATATATTATTTTTTCCTTGACTACTACTGTTCGATCGTGAAATGAAATGGAAATTTTTTTTTTTTTTTTGCCAATGCCCTTTTCTACTATTTATTTTTATTTTATCTATAGAAACTGGAAGAAAAAAAAATCCCTAGAACCACTCGAATCAAGAAGACAAAAAATAAAGAAGAAAAAAAATCCGAAACGAAATTACATGGTTCTTTATTTCTTTTTTTTTTGGTGGTGAAATAGACGACGGCGCGACTATACTATTTTTTTGTTGTTGTTGTTGTTAACTTAGCTTCGGCTACTGCCATTCAAGTTGATTGGATGGGACAACGGCCCTGATAATGATTATATAACGACGGCGTGAAATCGAAAATAAAAGACTGGTGGATATAACCGAAAGAAAATGTAGCTTCACATGATGTACAATGATGCCATCCAATGGTGATAAAACAAATTGATTTCAATAACAAAAATTAATGTAAATGTAAAACCAAACGAGATTGCCATCTTTTGATTGAATCTAAAAATAAAATTATTAAAAATCGATCATGGCCAAGAAGAATTAATCAATAGTCATCATATATGATTGAATGATTTTTTTTATAATTTTAAACAATAATTTTATTTACTAAATCTGTTTTCAATTTGAAAAGAATATGACAATGAAGGGGGAGAAAAAATGCAAATTGTTTGTGTTTAAAACATGCTGTGCGTATGAATTGTCGAATGTAAAGAAAGTTAGTAACATAAGAATGGTAAAAAAAGGGAACAAAAGAAAATTTACAGGAGAAAAAAAAATAATGAAATCAAAATTAAATAAAATATATCAAAAGAAAATGGATGCAAATAAAATTTACATAAAAAAAATTCTACACATTTTTTTGCTTTGTATCATCATCATTTTCAGCAGCAACAGCAGCAGTGTCGGTTAGCATCAAATTTAAATTCACAAGAGAAAAAAAATCAAATTCTGAAAATTGCAATCAAAAAAAGAAAACAAAGGGAAAATAATGAATAAAATGAGAAATGAAATCAGTAAATTCTAGCAGTGTAGTTTGGGGAATCGTTCATTGATTAATATAACATATATCATTTCTGGGTGATTGTTTCATTTCTTCACGATCATAACAATGATATAACAACAAATAATTGATTATAATAATTTTTTCTTTTTTTTTTTGTAGAGCTGTGTACGTATGTAAAGCATATATATGTGACGTAAAAATTTTTAAAATAATATATTGGCGACGATTGTTGTGAAAAATTGCAATTGTTTAAGTTCTAAAATTCACCTAAAATTGGTTGAGCAAAATGGTTTTTTGTTCTGTATACCATTGTCGTTTCATTCGTTGAGTATCGTTGAAATTTAGATTTTGATGATATTTGATTTTCATAATGTCTGTCTATGTATGTTATGAATGGACAATCTGATTTGCTTGTTCAACATTAGCGTTAGCTGTAGACATCATCGATATATGATAGGAATTATAACCAGCTGTTCCGGTTGTAGCTTGTACCGATAATAATTGCTGTGGACTATCACACATAAATGGTGATGGTGTACGATTACGATTTTGATGTACAGTTGGATGTTGATGATAATGTTGTTGTTGTGGCTGTGATACAGCTTGATGATGATTGATTGGTGAAATATCATGTTGTTGATGATTGTGATGATGATGATGTTGATGTTGATTAACGTAATGTGTTTGCTGTTGTTGATCTAAATTAATTGGTCCTCTTGTTCCAAATTGATTGTGCTGCGTTTGTTGTTGACTATTACGTGAACTAACACGTGGTAATGTTGCATATGATTGTGCCAATGCTTCGTTGGGCGTTGACGACGTTGTTAATGGAGGTGGTGTATTTGAACCCATTAAATGTGTTGCCGATGATGTACTTGTTAATGTATTGACATTAGTACCGGAACCGGATTGTGGTGTTTGTGCGTTCGTATATTGTACGGTTGAAGATGAGGATACTAATGCTTCCAAAGCACGATATAGAAACAGATAATCATCCTGTGAACGCCATATACCTGGCCGTCGTAGATGATATAGTTTAGCATACATATAAACATCCACACAATCTTCAAAATTGAGCTGCTTATATAAAGTGGTCAATATGGCAAATGTGGCCGCTTCGGTTCCACCAAATTTATCCACTACAACTACCGGTCCCAATACACCGGATGATGTGACAGTATCGGATGTACACCAATCTTGGACAATTTTTATGAGATCAAAAACCTGTGCCAATGGCTGTCGTTCAGGCCAATCAGAACAATGTACTAATCGACAACATAGTTCATAATCATCTTGAGTCGATTGTAACATTAAATCACGTTTAGTAATGAAACCTGCTCCGCTGGGACAGCCTCCCCCAACGCCACCATTTTCACAGTTCAACATCAGACGTGATTCTTCAATTAATTTCACTTTAAATGAACCATAATCGGCTTCATCTTCTTTATCTGGCCAAAATTGTGGAAATTCTTTCTCATCGATCACGGATGAAAGCATCACTATTGTTTGTACATTATGATCCCAAATCATTTGCCAAAAATCTGGGACCGTATCCCATATTGGATGTTGTGTAATGATGAATTCACGAAGTCGACTGAATCCGGTCAAAAATGTAGCATTAATATAATCAGAACCTTCAGCACCAGGTGTACGTGGTAGAATATGAACACGATGTGCTTCCAAAGGAATCAGATTCAATGAACGATTTTTAGGCTTATTGCATGGCTTTAATGCCGAAACAACATTAAAATCTTTTGCTTTAAATTGGGTGACCATACGAAATTGTCGTTCAAGTAATGGCCAATGACTATGTTTATCCATTGTTGATGGTATCAATCCATTATCGGTACCATTCAATTTTGGTTCACCACCGGTTTGTAATGTTTGTAAATAACGTAATAAATGCGTTGATGGTACTTCGGTATCACCTGCATCAAGAAATTCCAATAATGCATCATGTATGAAAATGTATTGTTCTTCTGTTTGTACGAGGAAATTTCGTTGCTGTCGAATGTGCTTGAGAAAACCGAATACATTGATACAATTACGATGTTTAATCTGTTGCATCATAGCATCAAGTACAATATAAGTTCCAGTACGGCCAACACCAGCTGAACAATGAACGATGATTGGCCCTCCAGTGGGTGGATTAGCTGCAGCTGATTTTCGAATAAACGCCAACACTGGCAATGGATGTTCCGGTACACCGTGATCAGGCCAATTTGTATAATGATATTGGTAAACTGTACGTTCATTTCCATGTTTCTAAAGTGGTAAAATCGAAATCAGAAAAAAATTCATTTCCCTAGATTTAAAATACCTTTTTGATTTTAAGATTTTTAACATGAAAAGTTCGTAATGTATAGGTAGCCATTACAACTTCTTGTAGTAATCGAACCTGCACTATACCATACGTTTCGGTGCCTTCTTTTGGCCAATACATGTCACATTTTCTCTGTAAATTTGAATATGAAATTAGAAAAACATTTGTTAGCATGAATTTCAACATTTTTTATAAACTAATGAAGCAAGAAGGATCAAATGCCAATCAATTTTTTTTGAAAAACATATCTAATTCTAAGTGAAAACCACAGACAAATCTCAAAAAAGGAAGATGGGTAAACATGAGGGATATGAGATACAAATACTCACTCCATCATCCATCAGTTCAGCATGTCGCTGAAGATAGCTCTGAATTTTCAAAAAATTTAGAATAAAAAGAAATGGAAAAAATCAGAAATAGAAAGAGAGAGAGAAAGAAGTAATGAGATGAAAGAAAAATAGAATAAAAAGGTATCAATCTTTAAGATTAATAAATCTGAATCTGTAGGAAATGATTATAATAGCAAAACACATAATGACGATAAGATTCACAAGCAACAAGAAATCACAAGCAAATTCATAGCCAATTTTTTATCACAACAATTAAAATGTTTCAAACTAACCCTTCCACGTTCCATTAGATTGGTAATCATGACTACAATGCAAACTCGTTGTTCCCATATCATACGCCAATAATCATCGAATGTAGCCGGCAATGGACCTTGAGTGCCGATATAAGCTTGAGATTTACGATAGCCCTACAAGGAAAGTAAAAAAATGATTAAATAAATGTCTATTTAAATATTAATTTGAATGACATACATCAATATAATTGGCATTAATATAATCATGACCAGTTTTCTTTTGACCAGGTAATGGTTTAAGCAGTACACGTGTATGATCATAGGCTACAATATTTACGTAACGATTTTTTGTTTTATTTTCAGCCATATGTGAATGTTCAGATGAAAGACGATCGGCATGTACTTCGGTCGAACGTTGTAATTGTTCATATTCGCGCGTGAAACCAATATCACCATCACAATGTAAATCTTGTACATGTCTTGACCATTGTCCAGTCAATATTGGTGGATATTCTGCTTCATCAATATAAACTTCGGATAAATTTGGTGATGATCGGGGATTACTTCCACCACCAATAGCTGGATCATCAAGATAATAATAGGCAGCTTGAAAATATTTTCTCCAAAGAAAAAAACTAGCCACTGCCAGTAGGAATGCCAATAGAGCGCATGTTAATCCAGCCATTAATGAAGCCGAAATAAGATCCGAACCAGATGCATAGCCTAAAGAAACAATAAAAACATTGAATTAATTGATGTTGAATAATCAAAATGGTCGAATAAAAAACACAATGACTAATCTAGATTCTAATCTTAGCTCCTCAAATTATCAAGAATTAATAAGATGTTATTTAGGCAATTTATCGTATGCAAATGCCCATAAAGAAATCCCCAATGCTCGATAGACATTATTCGAATATAATTTAGTTTTGTATTGTGTGTGTGTGTGTGACGGAAAAAGATAGATTCATGATAGAAATAGAGAGACAGATAGTATAGGCATGATTAGTAAGATTTAATAAAGAAGGAAAAAGATAGAACTTACTGATACACTTACTCTGAAGAATAACTTTACGTGATTCACTAAAATCACCACGATAAAGTTTACTACTTTCTTTTAGACTTCGCGTTGCTCCTTGAACTTTGACTTCATACAAAGTTCCTTTTGTCAAATTGGTTATTTTAGTCTGATGGAAAGTAACAATAAAAGTTTAGAGATATTGGATCGATTTTAACAAGAAAAGAAATTTGCTTACATAATGTTCAAATGATGTATCAAAACCGGGTATATTTATAGGAATTTCGTCAAAATTATCATCCGAATCATGTTCGGAACGATAATATACAAAGTAATAATCAATTTTATGATAAAATCGTTCCGGACGAGTCCATTGAACAATGAGAGCATCATCGCCTTCACAAGTAAGATTAGAAATATATGGTGCTGATGGTCCAGAAACATCTGTACGAAATTCAATCGTTCTTGAAGCTTCACCTTCCGAACGTTCCGTATATGCTTTGGTCCAAACTTTATACTGTGTAAATGGTTCTAATAGGAAGAAGATCAATAGATTTTAGATTTTGCATCGATTTAAAGAAATTATTATCCGTACTTAGATTATGAATTGTATATTCCATCAAATGTTGAGATAGATCAGATGTTTGAAAGCGTTTCACTTCAGTTAGATTAGCAGCCATATTATGAACATAGATATGATAGCCGATAATACGGCCATTCGGTTGTAATGGTTCGGACCATTGTACACGTGCCATAAGATTATTTACCCGTTGTACAGTAACATTTCGTGGTGGAGATGGAACTATATATAATTTTAAAAAAGAAAAAAAATTTAATTTAATAATTTTACTTCGAAAATTGATATAAAAATCACATACCTCCTTCATCTGTAGTAGCTGCCAATGTAGCAACTGGACCATCACCTTTTGGATTGAATACCCGTAACGTTACAAAATATTCGGTATATGGTTCCAGATTTCTTATGGTATAATTCTGTGTAGGTGGCAATCCGGTCGTTGTAATAATAATCGGCGCCAATTTCGTTGTTGTTGTTGTTGTTGTCGAAACATTCGTTGACATTGATGATGAAGGTGTTGGTATTTGCAATTCATCGTTAGCAACAACGAGATGAAAAAAAAATAATGAAATCAAAATATTAGATAACAGACAAATAATTATCCTTGTATTGTGCCATATTGATCGTGAAGATGATGATGGTGATGATTTTCGACACAGAACGTAAGGTTGTCGTTCAATTTGTTTATGTTGTCGTCGAAAATGATGTTTCCATCGTAACGACAGTGATTTATCTATTTTGTTTGATATTTTAAATGTTGATGATGATTGTAAATAATAACAACAACAAAACTGTGGACACATTGATCAATGAAATGAGGATTTTTTTTGGTGTTTGTGTCTCTGTATTTATTTATTTATTATGTTTGTATTGCTATCGTCAATGATAAATGATAGAACGAAATAAATAAATGGATAGAAAAAAAATCAAATCAAAAGGGCGCCAAAAAAAAATTCCAATTGTGAGATTTTAACAGAAATTCTTTGCGAAAGAGTTATTCTATAAGATTATAATTTGAATCATCATCATTGTAAAATGTTGAAAGATCAATTTATAGCAAAGAAATGTTGTCGAAATGATTCAAGATCACATGAATATTATTAAAAAGTAGTGGATGATCTTGGATTTATCGAAATTCAATTAAAATTTCAAATTTTCTTGATAATGATAAAAATGTGTTGAATTATAAATGATTTGTTTTTTTGTTTTGTTTTTTGGAACGATTTTTGCATCAACAAGGCAACAAAACAAAGTAGGACAAACGAGTATGATGATGATGATATTCGGCAAATTTCTCTTGTCTTTCTCATTTATTCATTCATTCATTCATTCAACATATAATCATCATCTATGGAAAAAAACCTTTGGCTACTTTTAGTTGCTCCAACAACTACTACCACTTGCGAAAAGAACATAGGTCAACAATATAAATCGAGCTACTACAAAGATGCAGATGTTCAATGTTTCAAGAAAAGTTTCTTTTTGTTGTTATTGTTGTTGTTGTTCCAGTCATAGAACAATATCTTCTTACAACAATTGGATAGAAGATGGCTAAAAGATGAAGATGATGTCTTTTTACAATAAAAAAGTTTGCTTAATGAACAGTAAAAATGTTTGAATCATTGTCGATGTAAAATTTGATCATTGATGATTTAAACACGAATTTAGATGACAAAAAGAAGAAAAGACACGTTGAAAATTTTGGTTTTATATTATTCTATCTATATTCGAAAAATTTCATTCAATTTTGAATTGAATATTCAATATATTATAACACATTTTTCCATTGAACCAGTTATTGACCTGTGGAGCTATCGGTTTTTCATTTCGTTGTTGTGTGTTGATTATATAACATCAACATTGCCAACAAGGCGGGGATCATTGTTTATGAATCAGATCGGTTCGGATTGAATTTTTCTACCACTGTTGTAGTGGTCATACAATCGACAAAGAACATTAACTTTGACGTAAAAAAAAAAATTTTAGATCATGAATGAATGAACCGTGGATTTTTCTGCCATCTTTTTTTTCTGGTTTCAGCTGTTGGACTTTGAAGAAGGCGAACGAACAAGAATGTTGAATGTTTTTTTTTCTGTGGCGAGTTGGTGATCACGACGTAAACAAAAAATGAAATGAATGAATTTCACAACTTGTTTCGGTTTTGATTCGGATCGTTTGTTTGTTGTATGTGTGAAGCATTATGTATGTATGAAGCTTGCAAAACATTCATTTTGCTCGTCGTCGACGATGATCACCATCATCACCATTCATTCATTGAAGAATGATTTGAATCATCATTCAAAGATGGCGTACGAATATCCATTTGAATTTAAATTTTTTAATAAGCTTACCCTTGCTTCCGGATCACCAATAGTGATTTCACGTTCATGTAACACCAATAAAGATGCTGAATTTCCATTTTTATGATAACGTAAACGATAGCCAATAAATTCACCATGAATTGTATTCCTTGGTGGTGGATGCCATTCCAAACTCAATGATGATGATGATTTGTTTACGCAACGAAATCCAATGGGAATTCCGTCTGGAACTGTAGGGGAAAAAAATTCATTAAAATTATAAATAGAATTGGGCAGTGTACTTACTTTCTCGTAATGTAACAGTATAATAGGATTCTTTACTTGGTTGACTAGCACCGATTGCATTGACTGCAATGACTCGAAATGAATATACAGTGAATGGTTGTAATTAATCAATATAATATTCGGTACGATTATCAATTTATCAATATAATATTCGAAATTTAATATGCGTACGATTATCCAATGTGGAAATGCCATTCATACTATCCCAATCACCATTTTCACCGATTCTATTTTCAATAGAAAAATTGTAATTTATCAATATATTATTCGGTACGATTATCCAATGTGGAAATGCCATTCATACTATCCCAATCACCATTTTCACCGATTCTATTTTCAATAGAAAATTATTATGTAACAAATGAAATTTAATATGCAGGAATATTTCCATTTTCTTTCAATTTACCTTGTATGAATAATATAATTCAATACCGGTGAATTATGTGAATTAAAACTTGGTGCCCAAGATAAATTCACTGAACGAGATGTAAATGACATTATAAATGGTTTGCCCGGTGGATCTGGTACATCTATAAATTAGATTTTTTTTTTTGAAAAAAAAGAAAAAAAAATTAAATAGGTTAAAATGTCAATATCATCATCATGGATTTTTATAAATTTCAAATGAGAATAAAAAAATTCATTTGCATTGTGTCAATCGAAATCAATGGGTGTTTGGTGTCAACCAAAAACAAATTACAGATCGACAATATATCACTTGGGCGAAAAAATTTATAACAATAAGCTATGATGATGATGATGATCATCATCATCATCACCGCCAACGCATTACAAATACTTAAAAAAATAAAAAATCTATTCGATGATGGTGGGCGAGAATGTTCAACAACACAATCAATCTTGTCAATGTTTTTTTTTTCTTCTTTATTGGTGTGATACAAATGTCAGTATATTGAAGATGTGTCCATTCATTTCAAAAAGAAAAATGACTATGTTTTGTATATATGAATTGATGGATCGAAAATGAATCTTTTTCTCATCATGTGGATGCGGAAATTTGAATTTTTGTTTGTTTGTTTGTTTGTTGGTATATCATAATATAATAATAATAAAACAAATATAAATGATGGATGAGACATTTATCTATTTGAATGCAAATGTGCTAATGAAAATTTTCTCCATTTTCTTTTTTTTTTGTCAATTTGTACGAGCTTTTGTGCACGTGTACATCTATCAATCAAAGTGGAAATGTATGTAATTAATTAATTTTTCCCCTTAATCCAAATGAATTTGTGAACAAAAGAAGAAAAGAAAAATCATGTAGGTTGAAATGAAGTTCTTTTGAATCAATCGACAATGATGAACAAACAACAAACAGAAAACGAAATGCAATCAACAATTTGTTCAATGACCTTTTTTGGGTTGAACCCGAATTTTATGTTCATATTTTTTTTCTCGTGCATGCTACTGTCATATTTTTTTCATATTTATTTAGTTCACCCAAATTCAACAGGAATCAAGAAAAGAAAATAAAGGCTTTTAAAGAAATCTCACCGGAAATAGTTTTTTTTTTTGATTACAAAGAAGAAGGGTTCTATATTATGATAAAGTGAAGAATAAATCTTACAAAAACATAAAACACAAAACAATAGATGGATTGGTAGCAACCACACCTCAATAAAGTCAATCGGAACTATAATTTAGATTATGATTAAGATGAAATGTCGAGAAAATTTTAGAAAATTTCAATCAAAATAAAATGGAAATTTTAATTTAAAATTACATCTGAAAATAAATTTTCAACAAACAATAGAACAACCAAGTATACACACCACAGGTGCACACGTGTGTATCTATGTACAAGACATTATAAAAATGATTATGATGATGATGATGATGATGATAATGAAAAAAAGTGAACATCAATTTCAATATTTTACAACACTGAATGGACACGCCTAAATCATGATGATGACCTTTGACTTGTGACATAATTTTTTTTTCTCTTTATTCAATATTTTTATATTTTTTTTTGATTTCATCATCGTAAAATGATGATGATAATCAAATCCGAGACTATGTAGATATGAATAATTTTTTTTCTCTTGATTTCGCTCACTCTCATACTCATTTTGGCTTAGCTACCGGTCTTTTGTCTTTGTGAAATTTCATCTTTTCGGTGTGATTTGATATGATCAAATCATTATACTGGTGTTGAATATGATGATGCTCCTACCAATTAGTCATTATCATGCTGTCCAAAAACTCATACAAAGTGAAAGTTCATAAAGTTTGATTTCATCATCATCAACTTCATCATGTTGTCAAATCAAATTATGTTTCTCTGCCATTTAAGGTGATTCATCATCATCATCATCATACCTGGGAGGATTGGACGACAAAAATTTTTTTTCTTGAAAAAAAAGAAAAATTTTCAAATTAATCAAGCACCAAATCGAAAATGAATCAGAATTGTCTGTAGAATTCTTTTTTTTATCGATGTAATTTTCTTTTTCGTTTTTGTTTTGATGTTCACTGAAAAAACAAAAATATTTTGATCATCATCTTTGTAAGTTCGATAAGAGAAGAATAAAAATGAAAAAAAAGGAAAAGCGTAAAACGGTCTTTCACAATAATAACAACAAGTGATGATCACCATAGCAATTGCCTGCTGTGATTTTTTCATTATCTTTGCCGTCATCATCCATCGTTCAATGCAATCCGATTCAATTTATTGCAGTAAATTCTGGTTTTTTTTCTACTTGCTGTTCCTTCAATAGAGAAAAAAAAGAAATGCGTTGTGATTTTTAACGTCAAAACATCAAATTTTTCCACGTTTAAATCATTATTCTTGATATTGATGGCATAAATTTCGATGAATAGATTCTTTAAACAATGATGATGATGATGATGGTAATTGAACATTGTTTTTCTTTTAGAACGAAAAAAAAATAGTAAATCGAGTTCAATTCAAAAAAAAGAATGGCTGAATGTTATTTGAAATTTAAAAATTTTTCTTTTGTTTCTATTGAAGCAATAAATTTTTGATTTAATTTAAAATTGACAAGAAATTTTAATGAAAAAAGTTCAAAATTCAATTAGATGAAAAAATTTTTTGTCTTGAATAAAAATTAAGAAAATTTACATTGAACACGAGCAACATGATGAAAAATTACAATAGAGGATTGTAAATGAAAATCATGATGATGATGATGCTGATAGCTGAAATCATTTGTTCTATCTTTAGCTGTAGCTCAATTCATGAATGTTTCTTTTTTGTTTTTTTGGCTAGAGTTAATTTACTCATTTCAATGATCATCAGCCATTATGAACTGAACATTAATCTGGACATGCACATCATCGTTCGGTTTCTGTTTGTGTATAATTGATTTATTTTCAAATCAAAACAATTGAAGATAAAATCAAGGAGAAAAAAAACTTTTCTTTGAAAACTCAGAAATAATAGATTATCGACGAACATATAACGAAAATATATTCACTTGCTACTGTGTGTGGTCAAAATAAATTTTGAAGGTGGAAAAAAATCAATTATTTGAATTTGTCGTAACTTTTAAAAAGAAAACAAAAATAATTCATTAATTTAGCTTCATTCGAACATAAATTTTATTGAAAATTTCATACTTTCTCAGTTACAGGTAGTGAATTAAATTGAAATTTCATTTTTCACAACTTGATGATTTCAATCATAAAATTGACACTAACTATAGTGTGAAAATAATTCTCAATAAAATGAACGGAAATTAATTTGAAAATTCTTATAGACATATTTTCAATGATAATTTCTTCAGAATTCATACAAATAAATTAATTTTTCATAATTCACATTGAATTTCATGGTGGTCGCAACATCATCAAACACACACACTGTTGCCATTAATTTTTTTTCATAATTTTTTCGTTTTGTATGAATGAATTTGGTGGGAATTATTTTTTGGTAATTTCTGTGTGCATTTATTGATATTGTTCATCATCTTTTAAATGAAACACACCGATCATATTGATCGTGTTTTGTGTTGAATCAAGTGAACAATACATAAAAATTAAAATTGGATCAAAATTGAAGAAGTCAAGAAAAATTGTGAACAATATGCGTGTGTGTGTGTGTTAAAATTGCCTTGCAAGTCCGTGAAAAATCCATATTTTTTTCCCTGTTTGAATCAAATTTGTTTTTGTCGCCAAAATTCTTAGACAATTTTGGTTGATTATTAATGCCAGTTGAATGTAACGAAGCGTGTAGGATTGACGGAGATTAAAATAAAAATTTAAATGTCCTACATATGCTCATCGCTTTAGTGAATGAAGCAAAATTAAAGCAAGAAAAAAAATATCTGTCAACCGTAGAATTGTCCCTTGAATTCGTTATCGTTGAACCATAAAATTTTAATGTTTTCATATTGTATCCATTCATTTGAATTCATATTCTTGGTTAAATTTTGAATAGAATCGACTAAATAATTCATATTCATATAACATAAATAATTTCATTCAAAACTAATTCATATTCCTTTGTTAATGTTGTGACAATTTAGAATATAGAATCATTGAATCGTTACTTTATAATAGTAAATTCATTATTATGATGATCAAACTAATATGAAATAGAAATTAAAAAAATTGAAAGTACAAATTCAATACTTCCGACCAGGTGAAATATAATACAGAAAAAAAAACAATTTCAATAAATTGATATTCTCATTTTAACCATGGAAAATCTTTAAAGATTGTGAAACAAATGAAAAATCAAATCCAGCAAAGTGTTTTTTTAGTAAAATACAATCAAATTCTAAATTGATCGGACAAATCGATCAAAATCGATCGATCGATCGATCAGTGGCCTATATTTAGCAAGAATGATCAATTTTTTTTCCATACAATTTGAAGTATTAAAGATTGTCCGAAATAAGTAAATTGTAACGCAAGCAAGTAAAAAAAAAAATTAAAACGTTCAAGACAAAAGAGTTTACCCGCGTGTGTTTGTGTGTGTGTGTGTGCATGATTGTTTCCTTAGATTTGATCTATTTTTCTTCTTGACTTTGGTTTGAATCGGTTTTTTTGGGGCTTTCTTCTTCTTCACCATCAATTGTTGTATCATTCCTTTTCTCAGTATGTATTATGTGTATTTTTATTACATAAACACGAATTGCTTGCACAGAAATCAAAGTACAAATATAAAACAAAATGTTCAATCATGATTAATGGCATGATAAAAACTGGGATAAATGAATGAAAAAACATTGGACAAAGATGTGCTTGTGTGTGTGTGTGTGGTGTTCGTGGTTTCATAGTTACAATTTTTTTTCTGTTATTTTATTTTTCGGGTTGAATGTCAATCGACAATGTTCTACATAATGATAATGATAGTAACAACGACGACGACGATGATGATGATGATAATGTTCAACATATATACGATCAATTTAAATTGATATAAATTGAAATCAATTTCATTTAATCGATTGTATCATGACGATGATGATGATGATGTTTGTGGAATTTTTTTTCAAAAAAAAAAAAAAAAAAACAAAAATCTAATCTAGATTACAATCTAGAACAAATTGATCAGAAAATAAGTGTCAAACAATTTGAAAATAATAATTTTTTTCATCATTTGTTTTTCTATGATGGAAAAACTACATTGTAGTGATCTGGAAAAAAACTGGATGAATGAATAAATAAATAAATGTGTTGGATGTTTTGATTTATCTCTTTTTCATTCATTCATTCATTCATTATGATACAAATAAACTTAGTACAATTATTATAATCAATATACAATATTGGCTTATGATGATGATAAAGATAAGTCATTATTTCTTCTTTCTGCTTGTCGACTGCTGCTGCTGTTGCTGCTGGTTTATTATGTTGTCAGAAAACTTGAAAATTTAAATGAATAAATCTAAAGCTTTACACACACACAACTCCCTTCTTTTTTTTTTTTTACCCTTGCTTCCGGATCACCAATAGTGATTTCACGTTCATGTAACACCAATAAAGATGCTGAATTTCCATTTTATGATAACGTAAACGATAGCCAATAAATTCACCATGAATTGTATTCCTTGGTGGTGGATGCCATTCCAAACTCAATGATGATGATGATTTGTTTACGCAACGAAATCCAATGGGAATTCCGTCTGGAACTGTAGGGGAAAAAAATTCATTAAAATTATAAATAGAATTGGGCAGTGTACTTACTTTCTCGTAATGTAACAGTATAATAGGATTCTTTACTTGGTTGACTAGCACCGATTGCATTGACTGCAATGACTCGAAATGAATATACAGTGAATGGTTGTAATTTATCAATATAATATTCGGTACGATTATCCAATGTGGAAATGCCATTCATACTATCCCAATCACCATTTTCACCGATTCTATTTTCAATAGAAAATTATTATGTAACAAATGAAATTTAATATGCAGGAATATTTCCATTTTCTTTCAATTTACCTTGTATGAATAATATAATTCAATACCGGTGAATTATGTGAATTAAAACTTGGTGCCCAAGATAAATTCACTGAACGAGATGTAAATGACATTATAAATGGTTTGCCCGGTGGATCTGGTACATCTATAAATTAGATTTTTTTTTGAAAAAGAAAAAATTAAATAGGTTAAAATGTCAATATCATCATCATGGATTTTTATAAATTTCAAATGAGAATAAAAAAATTCATTTGCATTGTGTCAATCGAAATCAATGGGTGTTTGGTGTCAACCAAAAACAAATTACAGATCGACAATATATCACTTGGGCGAAAAAATTTATAACAATAAGCTATGATGATGATGATGATCATCATCATCATCACCGCCAACGCATTACAAATACTTAAAAATAAAAATCTATTCGATGATGGTGGGCGAGAATGTTCAACAACACAATCAATCTTGTCAATGTTTTTTTCTTCTTTATTGGTGTGATACAAATGTCAGTATATGTGAACAATACATAAAAATTAAAATTGGATCAAAATTGAAGAAGTCAAGAAAAATTGTGAACAATATGCGTGCGTGTGTGTGTGTGTGTGTTAAAATTGCCTTGCAAGTCCGTGAAAAATCCATATTTTTTTCCCTGTTTGAATCAAATTTGTTTTTGTCGCCAAAATTCTTAGACAATTTTGGTTGATTATTAATGCCAGTTGAATGTAACGAAGCGTGTAGGATTGACGGAGATTAAAATAAAAATTTAAATGTCCTACATATGCTCATCGCTTTAGTGAATGAAGCAAAATTAAAGCAAGAAAAAAAAATATCTGTCAACCGTAGAATTGTCCCTTGAATTCGTTATCGTTGAACCATAAAATTTTAATGTTTTCATATTGTATCCATTCATTTGAATTCATATTCTTGGTTAAATTTTGAATAGAATCGACTAAATAATTCATATTCATATAACATAAATAATTTCATTCAAAACTAATTCATATTCCTTTGTTAATGTTGTGACAATTTAGAATATAGAATCATTGAATCGTTACTTTATAATAGTAAATTCATTATTATGATGATCAAACTAATATGAAATAGAAATAAAAAAAAATTGAAAGTACAAATTCAATACTTCCGACCAGGTGAAATATAATACAGAAAAAAAACAATTTCAATAAATTGATATTCTCATTTTAACCATGGAAAATCTTTAAAGATTGTGAAACAAATAAAAAATCAAATCCAGCAAAGTGTTTTTTTAGTAAAATACAATCAAATTCTAAATTGATCGGACAAATCGATCAAAATCGATCGATCGATCGATCAGTGGCCTATATTTAGCAAGAATGATCAATTTTTTTTCCATACAATTTGAAGTATTAAAGATTGTCCGAAATAAGTAAATTGTAACGCAAGCAAGTAAAAAAAAAAAATTAAAACGTTCAAGACAAAAGAGTTTACCCGCGTGTATTTGTGTGTGTGTGTGTGCATGATTGTTTCCCTTAGATTTGATCTATTTTTCTTCTTGACTTTGGTTTGAATCGGTTTTTTTGGGGCTTTCTTCTTCTTCGCCATCAATTGTTGTTATCATTCCTTTTCTCAGTATGTATTATGTGTATTTTTATTACATAAACACGAATTGCTTGCACAGAAATCAAAGTACAAATATAAAACAAAATGTTCAATCATGATTAATGGCATGATAAAAACGGGGATAAATGAATGAAAAAACATTGGACAAAGATGTGCTTGTGTGTGTGTGTGTGTGGTGTTCGTGGTTTCATAGTTACAATTTTTTTTCTGTTATTTTATTTTTCGGGTTGAATGTCAATCGACAATGTTCTACATAATGATAATGATAGTAACAATGACGACGATGATGATGATAATGTTCAACATATATAAGATCAATTTAAATTGATATAAATTGAAATCAATTTCATCTAATCGATTGTATCATGACGATGATGATGATGATGTTTGTGGAATTTTTTTAAAAAAAAAGAAAAAAAAACAAAACAAAAATCTAATCTAGATTACAATCTAGAACAAATTGATCAGAAAATAAGTGTCAAACAATTTGAAAATAATAATTTTTTCATCATTTGTTTTTCTATGATGGAAAAACTACATTGTAGTGATCTGGAAAAAAAACTGGATGAATGAATAAATAAATAAATGTGTTGGATGTTTTGATTTATCTCTTTTTCATTCATTCATTCATTATGATACAAATAAACTTGGTACAATTATTATAATCAATATACAATATTGGCTTATGATGATGATAAAGATAAGTCATTATTTCTTCTTTCTGCTTGTCGACTGCTGCTGCTGCTGGTTTATTATGTTGTCAGAAAACTTGAAAATTTAAATGAATAAATCTAAAGCTTTACACACACACAACTCCCTTCTTTCTTTTTTTTTTTGTTTTGGTATCCCCCATCATTTTTTCTTCTTGTTTTATATAAACGAAAAAAAAATCTCCCACCAATCATCATAACCATAATCATAATCATAATCACCATCATCGCCTACCTTTCTATGGAAACAAACAACAACAACAACAATCCAATATTGACACACACACACACCTTAAACCTGAATACAGTACACATATGTATCACACACACACACAAACAAAATAAAAACAGCGAGATTTTTCGCGGCCAAAGGTGTGCCCACCTTTAGATGTTGATGATCAATATTTTCTTTTTTTTGTTATTCAAGGTTCAAAGATTTTCAAGATATATACCCCAACGAATTTATTCATTCATTCATTCATCGATTCATTGTTACACATCGTTTTTAAACAGAACAAATTTCTCAAAAAAAAATTCGTCTTCCGATCTTCTATCATCATCATCAACACATCAGATATATATGATGAATATTTTGGTTCATAGTTGTTGGTCGGTTGGTCGCCTTGAAGCCCTGAAGGGAACCCACCTTTTATCACACCAACACACAAACACTTGTCAATCATTATATGTTTTCATTGCAAATAGTGTTGAAAACGGTTTTTTCTTGAGTTTTTTCCTATTTACAAATGAATTAGAAATTTCAAAAAAAAACTTTTGACTCAAGAATCAAAGAAATTGAAAACAACAGAAAAAAGAATATAATCAAAAGGAATGAATTAAACAAAAAAAAAATTATGACAAAAATCAAATCCGAAACAAACATACAGACAAATACCAGAAGCAAATGGATAGAAAAAGAAAGAAAAATGTATCAAAAAACATCAACAAAAAAAGAAACAAAGGTGAAAAAAAAGGAATGAATGAATGAATACAAGATTATAACCATAAAAAAATCATTAAGTTTATCGGGTGCCCCAAAAAAAAGTGTGGCGGTCACTGATCATTATCATCATCTTTCAACGCATTTCATAAATCCTGATGATTTTCACTATGAGAAACTACATAGAGATGATGAAAACATGGTTTATAATAATGAATGAATGAATAAAGAATATGTATATGGATTTAAGCCATGACTTAATCACATTGATTAACAGGGTTCACCGTTGTGCATCATCATCATCATTATTATGAATGAGAATCAAGAAAAATAACTTCATCATCATCAACAATGACGCCAGACATGTTGATGTTCATAATCATCATCATCTGTAGTCATGATTCATAATCGATTTGAGAATAAATGAACTTGTATTACATGAAGATTTAGGTGTTAAGATTTTTCCTTCCTTGTTCACAGTGTATACGCGTTTGTGGTCATAAAAAAACGCTTATTTTTATTTTTTGTTTTTGTATCTGTTGAAATCCATAAGAATTCTATGATTTTGATGGAAACGATGATGACAATTTTATCATAGATGATAAATGTTGTATTAAGTGTTATTTTTTGGTTGCTATATTTGATGTTTTTTGCTGTAGTTTAAAGCAAAAAAAAATTTCAAAGATATGATTTATCAACATTGTACTGATAATATGAGTAAAACAATCAATTAAACTCATGAGAAATTGATTCATAGTAGCAGTATTGGCGTTTAATAATATTCAGAATGTGTGTGCGTGTGTAAAAAACATTTTTTTCTGTTTCTAATCATTTGTTTATGAGTGTTTATCTGTGAATGACGATGGATAAAGTGTCGAGAAAAAAAAACGTAAAAAATTTTCTACAAATATTCATAAATGCTATTCTTCAGATTTTTTTTCGCATCTGGTCTATATTATTATTGTTGAAATGTATCGGCTATTCATTTGAAGAGATTTTTCGAAATTTTGAAATATTTGGCCGTAAAAAATTAAATTATGAAGCAGAATTTGGGTCAATTAGTTTGGAGGGGAGAATCTGTGTCATTACAGGCGGTACACGTGGTATTGGACTTGAAACGATAAGATATTTATTTAAAAAAAATATTTCCAAAATCATCACTGGAAGTTCTCAGCTGAATATTGATTCTACCGATAATAATGAGATTGAAAATTTTAAATGTAAACTCCTATCTGAATCAGGTTTGGAACAATATAAAGATCGTTTGATTATCTATCCATTGGATTTGGGTTCAATGGATTCTGTTGGAAAATTTGCCGAACAAATTTGTAAAATGGAAACAAAAATTGATTATTTTGTAAGTTATAAGTTTATTATTATCCTATATTAACAATTGCTCCATGAATTTAATCCTAGATTTGTAATGGTGGTATATTGCTACCTCCAGCAATAAAAAATGATGGAATATTCGACATTACGATGGCAATTAATTATTATGGCCATTGTTTGTTGATAATCAAATTGTTAAAACTATTGGAAAAATCGCGAATAATAACTGTATCATCCATAATGCATTATTCATGTACGATTCGTTTACATGATCTGCAATCAAGACAATTATATTCACCAGTTTATGTATATAGTCAATCAAAATTAGCGCTTATTATGTTTACCTATCGATTCAATAAATGGATTGAAAAGAATATGGATTCAAACAATAAAAATGGTGAAAAGTATCTAACAATTAATTCTCTACATCCAGGTGTATGTCGATCAGACATGATAAAAAGAGCTATATGGTTGAATGTTCCAAGTTTTATCATAAATGTGCTTACTAGGGTGAGTAGATTTGATTTTTTTTTCTTAAACTCTTTGATTTTCATCAAAACTCATTGAATGTAGCCTCCAAAAGAAGGAACAGAAACAATATTGTATATAGCATTGTCACCAAAACTGACCAATATAAGTGGCAAATATTTTGAAGATTGTAAAGAACAAAAATCGAGTAAAATATCGTACGATGAAAATCTACAACAACAATTATGGTTGCGGACATGGCAAGATTTACGTCCATGGCTCAATAATAATGAATATAATCAATTGATGGAATACTAGAAACCATGAAATGAAGAAATGAAAAAAAGATCATCATCACATCATCATAAAATATAAGCGGTTAATTGATACAAAAAAACACGAGCATGAATGTTTTGTTTTTTTTGTAATTATCAGAATTTTTTTGATTCTCAATCATATATGAGTATATTTGTTTGTGTATTACTAACATAGATGTTGTTATTATTTAAAAGCAATATAATGGTTTTTTCTGTTTCTAATCATTTGTTTATGAGTGTTTATCTGTGAAAGACGATGGATAAAGTGTCGAGTAAAAAAAACGTAAAAATTTTCTACAAATATTCAAAAATGTTATTCTTGAGATTTTATTTCGCATCTGGACTGTATTTTTATTTTTGAATTGTTTCGGCTATTTCTGTGAAGAGATTTTTCGAAATTTTGAAATATTTGGCCGTAAAAAATTAAATTATGATGCAGAATTTGGGTCAATTAGTTTGGAGGGGAGAATCTGTGTCATTACAGGCGGTACACGTGGTATTGGACTTGAAACGATACGATATTTATTTAAAAAAAATATTTCCAAAATCATCACTGGAAGTTCTCAGCTGAATATTGATTCTGCCGATAATGAGATTGAAAATTTTAAATGTAAACTCCTATCTGAATCAGGTTTGGAACAATATAAAGATCGTTTGATTATCTATCCATTGGATTTGGGTTCAATGGATTCTGTTGTAAAATTTGCCGAACAAATTTGTAAAATGGAAACAAAATTGATTATTTTGTAAGTTATAAGTTTCATATTATCCAGTATTAACAATTGCTCCATGAATTTAATCCTAGATTTGTAATGGTGGTATATTATTACCTCCAGCAATGAAAAATGATGGAATATTCGACATTACAATGGCAATTAATTATTATGGCCATTGTTTGTTGATAATCAAATTGTTAAAACTATTGGAAAAATCGCGAATAATAACTGTATCATCCATAATGCATTATTCATGTACGATTCGTTTACATGATCTACAATCAAGACAATTATATTCACCATTTTATGTGTATAGTCAATCAAAATTAGCACTTATTATGTTTACCTATCGATTCAATAAATGGATTGAAAAGAATATGGATTCAAACAATAAAAATGATGAAAAATATCTAACAATTAATTCTCTACATCCAGGTTTATGTCGATCAGACATACTAATAAATGCTATGTGGACGAATGTTCCAAGTTTTATCATAGATGTGTTCACTAGGGTAAGTAGATTTGATTTTTTTTTCTTAAACTCTTTGATTTTCATCAAAACTCATTGAATGTAGCCTCCAGAAGAAGGAACAGAAACAATATTGTATATAGCATTATCACCAAAACTGACCAATATAAGTGGCAAATATTTTGAAGATTGTAAAGAACAAAAATCGAGTAAAATATCGTACGATGAAAATCTACAACAACAATTATGGTTGCGGACATGGCAAGATTTACGTCCATGGCTCAATAATAATGAATATAATCGATTGATAGAATACTAGAAATCAAATAAAGATACACTGATAAAAAGAAATAAAGTAGAATATAGTCATTATTTTTTGACGAAAAATGCAAAATAAAAAATTATTGGTAATTGTGATTTTGGCAAAACCAATTATTAAACACATAAACAACAAAAAAAATGATCAGAGAAAAAAATTTCGAATAAACACTCAATCAGCATTTCATCAATAGAAAGAGAGAAAGAAAGAAGATAAATCACACAATTCATTCATTCAATGCCAATGATTATGATAATAAAAAAATTTCGATTATAATTTTCAAGAATCATCTTTATCCATCCATTTTGTTGTGAGATTTATCTAAAAGAAAATAAGTCACATTTTCCATAGCTAAATCAAAAAAAAAAAATTTATTCCTTTCATGCGTTAAATTGGTACCATGAAATAAAGAAATGAAAAAAAAGACCCGCTAAACGAAATGAATCGATTGAATTGATTGAAATGTTTTTGTTGACAGAATATGTGTGTGTGTGTATCTACGAAATGTTACTGAATGAATACAATCGTAAATGTGATTGGCATCACACAAATACAAACACACACACACACACACACTAAATACCTATTTACCTGATTTTTTTTTCATACAATTTAGTAAAAAAATAATACCCAACGTCAATCGTACAAGACATACATACACCGTATATGAATGATAATGATAACATTTCATAGAAAAAGATTACAAGATTGAATGATCATCATCATCAACATCATCGAGCAATGGCGATGACAAATGAACCGAATAAACGATGTGAATGGATTCGATTCGATTTAAGATTATTATAACCATTTTTGATGACCACAACCAAACACAACAACAAGATTAATGGCTAACAAAAATGAATAGAATTCTAAGAAACCACAGGATTTGTGTTTTTTTTTTGTGTGTATAGATAAACCAAAGAAAAAAAATGATGAAAAGAAAACTGCATGAGGAAGAAGAAACTTTTCTATTATAATGCAAGAAAAATACCATAAATATATGGACATAAAGAAGTTATTATGACAAAATTATTATTAAATCTAAGCAAAAAGATCGAAAAAAATGAATCATTTCATTGGTTTTTATTAGGAGAATAAACAAACAAAATTAGCCCATAATCGATCAATCTAGGATCAAGGATAGTTTGACTAAAGATGGAGGTAATCATCACCATCATTCATATAAACCAAAATGGATGGATTGCTATAATGGATTACTGTGTGTATGATTATCTTTATCGACAATTGTCGTTTGGTTGTCATTCGGTCATCATAATGACCACCTACCTAAATTTAGATCACTTTATCATCACCATCTTAATCATAAATTGGTCACTTGGTCATTTACCATTAAGTTAATGTGATAATAATATTCACGAAAGAACGAACGAACAAAAAAAATAAGCAAAAAAAATTCACATACACCTGGCTTCCATAGAAATCAATAATTCAAACGATCGACTGATGAAAAGAGTAATGAAGAGAGAAAGAAAAAAAAATTTAAATTTTTCAAATTCTTTCTTAAAAAAAAAAAAAATATAGTGTCATGGATTTTTTCTTTTGAAAAAAAGATCTAGATTAGCCATTGTGTGTGATCAAATGATTAATAAGTAACGAAAAATGAAAAAAATCCAGATTATCCATACAAAGATTAACAAGGTATGAACAACAACAACAAGAAAAAAATCCAATCATAATCAATGATGATGATGACGATGACAAGGTGTTAAACGAATAATAATAATAATAGAAAAAATAACCATCAACTATCAAGAAACATCTGCTTGACTTCAAATTTTTATGTTTTTTTCTCGTTGTTGTTGTTGATTTACATCATTCATTTCAATCTAAAGATAATAATCAGATAATACTATAGAGTTCGATAGCCGGGCAATTGAAATAAAATTGACAGCATCAGAAGCAAGAGCAGCAGCAGCAGTGAATCTTACCAATTTAGCTCAAATCTTATCTGATTTTCATTTCAAATAGATTTTTATCCAATTTTGATGTTGTTAGATAACGAAAGACATCTGCTTTTTTTCTGTGCGATATCTGTTTTTTTTATGTGACTGTGAACAAACAAATGACATCATTGATTGATATTTTTACAAAAGGATAATTGCTTCGTTTTTTTTTTATTTCTTGTATGATGGTAGATTGAATCAAAGAATGTTTATTTTAAATCATGATATAAACAATCAACAATCAACAACAGAAAAAAAAGAAGAAGAAGGGAAACTTGTTCAAACTTTGATCTAGATTTTGAAATTTTTTTTCCATTGAAAAAAAAAAATTTCTCTCGAAAATAAATCTAGAACAATCAAAATGAAAAATGTATAACGTTTTTTTTCTGCTTCAAGAATTCATTGTATGAACATAGATTTACTTTTTTTTCTCTACAAAATAAACAACAACTTTCAACCATATTCCCTTAATTCAATGTGTGTGTGTATCATATAATTAAATAAATTATATTGACATATATCATCTAATATATCTACATCTTCCATATCCAAACAAAAAAAAACGGTATTTCATTTCGTGCCAATTTTGTCAGCTAAATTGTTTTGAAGAATTAAGATGATCGTGGTGATGGTTTTGATGGTGGCGTTGGTTTTGATTTTCTTTCAACTCTTTTTTTCTGGATCATCAATCTAACAATGAAAATGATATGAAACTACTATTATCCAAACCAAATGTTTATTGTGTTTTGATCATGATGATTTTGTTGTTGTTGTTGTTGATGATGATGGTATTAGCATGTCGAACCAAACAAAGAAAAAAAGTGATTCTTTTTTTTGAAAAATCCGTTAAAAATACCGACGATACACACAAACAAAAATATACGATGATAAAATCGGCGTGACTGACAATAATATTATTTAGATAATGTTCAACAACAACAACAAATAAAATGTGCTAAAGCTAATTCAATGATGGCCACCGTATAAGTGAATATTATATATTGTATTTGATGTAATAATTCATATATTTATATTTATTCATATTTATAGCTATAAATATTGACCAATAACATCATCATCATCATCATCATCATTGTAAAATGGACATGATTGACCTTTGGTCATGGTTTTTTTTCCAGCTTGATTAGCATCATCATCAATGAAGAAAACCGACACAATAGATAGTAGTTGCTCACATGGAAATGTTTTTCTATCTTTGTAGATTTTGGATCATTATGTATGACTTTACATAATGATGATAAAGATATTTTGTGTGTGTGTGTGTGTGTTAATAGATATTATAAATTCAATATTGTTCAGACAGATAAATGATATATAGCTTTGAGTGAAATGAAAGATTGAAAAAAAAGACAAATATAAACATTGACAATAACAGAAGCCGTATACAAACAACATAAACATTATGATGAATACAATTCCCATTGATGATGATGACCACCATCATCATCAAAAATAGGCATCTCATTTGATTGGAAATGTTTTTTTTTACATTTTTCAAAAATTTCGACCGGAAAATGGTTAATGTTCGCAACCATGTTTTTATTTTCTACTAAATGTATGTCTAATAATTTTCGTTCTATTCAAGTTAGGTTAATTGTAGGCCAATGGAATTGAATTGTCGGATAGAAAAAAAATGTCCGGTCATTCAAATGCCAACAACAACAAATGTATCTGTGGTCCTGTGACTTGAAGACAGGTAAAATTATTATTGAATTTATGGCCACTTTTTTTTCTGGCTATTCACGAATAGAAAAAAAATTTGCTAATCATCATCATCATGCCGTACACTATTGTTGGTATTTTGTGGCCATTTTTTTGTTTTGTTTTCCGCTTGTCAAATTTTCGTTTTTTCCATTGATCATTTATGAGGATTTATTGATTGTGAATGTATAGAGAATTCGTCGATTCATTCATCCGTTCATCACAATCAACCAATAAACCATTATCATCAATTGACCACCAAATCGACCGGTCAAAAAAATGAATGAAAAATGAAATATAATAAAAAAAACCTATACAATTGACCTAATCAAAGAGTTAAATGTGGTCATTGAATGGATGTGTGTGTGTGTGTGCAAATGTGCATGTGAATTCGACAAAATCATATAATTGTTAGGTAAACATAAGGTATGATATAATCACGAGAATTTTGTTTTCCTTTCTTTTCTAACTTGTGCTAAAAAGATTGAATGAATGAATGGATCAATAAATAGACAAAAAAGAATAGAAGAAAAAAATAGAACCATAAATATTGGTGATGACTTTAAACGATTTTTTCGACATTTGGCTCCGAATGAATGAATAAATGATTCAAGAATAACGAATTCGCAATGGACTTGGACAAAATATTTTTAAAAACATAAAACAATGAAAAAACCAATTTATTTGATTGAAAGCATTGATATTTGTTTGTTTTTCAAAAAATCGTTTTCCAACCATATGATATATATGAAACCACATTGATGATTTTTTGAATTTTCTTCTTTTGCTAAAAAAATTCGTTTTTCAAATTTGTATTGATAGCCACACAGACAGACTTTCGTTGTTGTCTGTTGTTGTTCACTTGTTTTTAGATCGATAATTTATGATCAATACGTAGAAAAAAAGAAAAAAAAATCTAGATCATCAGTCGAATAGTTTATTTGGTGGTTGTTGTTGTTGGATAATTGGTCTTACTAACAAATATGATGTGATCAAAAAAAAATTGGTGCTGGATGTACGGGTCGGTTCAATCGTGATCAAACACGCCCAACACTTTTGCCTTTCATTTCAAAATCATATAAACGAGGATAATAAATCGACAACTAATCGACTACAATCGATTGAAGCATTTTTAATATAATCTATAACGATAATGATTATAAAGGTAAACAAAACAAGCCTATGCATTTTGTCAATGAATGATATGAATTTGACAAATGTAATAAATTCCAGTAAACAAAAAAATCATTCTATCTTGTCAAACATCATTCAGGGTAACAAAATGAAACTCGCGTTCACTTTGCTAATAATTTATGGATTTTTTGAGCTAATTTTTTTTTCTTCTTCTATGAAAACAAAAATCTGTACATTTGAAATGAAGAATAAATTGTTCACGTATTTCAATGAAAAAAAAAACAAAAAAATCGATACATCTTTATTTCTGAAAATATCAATTTTGGCCAGAATAAGAAAACGAAACCTGAACAGGTCAAATTTCGACAAGAAAAAAAATCTAATTTACAACGACCACACTTTTGACCAATGCAAATGAATATTTGAAAAGTGAATGAAAATATTGTGACAAGATGCCATTGATCTTTTAATACAAGTCATCCTCATCATCATCATCATCATGACGACCTGCTGAAAGATTTATAACTTGGAAAAATTATATTTTACATTCTATAAGTGTGTGGTGGCTACCTGTCAATTTGTTCTAATTTGAAATAAATTTTCTTTTTTTTCCTATTCAATGTCGAGTGTATGCGTGTTTTGTGTGTGTGTGTGTGTGTGTGTGTGTGAATAAGTGTATAATTCAAGTGAAAAGAAAATAAATTGGAAAAAGGATTTTTGTTGTTGTTGTTGAAAGAATGAAAATTATTTTTCTTTAAAAAAATTTTTTACCTTGAACCATAAGTCGAACTTGGCCATTTTCACGTTTATTATTGACCAAACAAAGATAATCACCAGAATCACGGAATGAAACTGAACGTAATAAAAGGGCACCAGTTTCCGGTACAAATGAAACATGATCACCCACTTGCCAGTTGATAATTCGTTGATTTTCAATCTAAATAAAATCAAAGTGAACAGAAAAAAAAGTGAAATAGAAATCAAGTAAACAGGTAATATATGAATTTTTGTGTGAACCAAAAAAAAAACGAATAATTTTCTCCAATGCACTTTTATATACTGCAATTGAAATTTGATGAGAAAATAATTGCTCCAGACCTAGCAAGAAAAAAAGTTTTTTTTCTTATGTTCATTATAAACGATGTTCATTCAATGATATGAATTATGAATTTTGCATATTTCTAGATTCTCCTCTCCCAGCCATCAATGATGAATGTGCGCGCGAGTTTGTAATCGTTGTTGTTGATTATTTCAATAATTTTCCATTTCTATCTTCAAATAATTGGCCAATTTTAGAACTGAAGATGGGAAAAAACACTTCTGAGCAATTGAATGATTGCTAGGATCATCATCATCATCATCAACAATCATCAGGCCTTTTTTCATAAGGGCCAAAGAAAGAGAAAAGTGAAAAAAAGCTACAATAATTGAAAAATTGATTTTTAAGTCAATCAAGTTGTGCATAGAAAACAAAAAAAAAACTTTTCAAAGATATCTGATCCGATCAATTATTGACCGATTAAATTAGCATTTATTCAAATTGAGCTCCGAATTGATGATGATGATGATGACGATAATGATTCGAATGTGAACGAAAAAAAAAAAAAAATTTTCTATTAATCGATCTTTGTTTCTATGTTGTTTTTCTGTGAATCTATTCATCAGTTGAAGGGAAAGATAAAAATATTCAAGAATTGAAGTCGTGAGTCAATCTTTCTTCATTCGACACACATAAAAAAACATAAACACAAATGATCATTTTTTCCTCTTTTTTCTTTTTTTCATTGACTAATTTTCTCAGGTCCAAAACAACAATGACTAATTTACACGAAAAAGAAATGTGCAGGTAAATTTTTTTTTTCTTCCATTACAAGACCATAAGGATTGTATATATTGTTATGTCAATTGAATGAATGAATGAATGAATGACTGGCTCCTTATGAGAGATTATTCGTTTATTGTTTATAAATTTGGTTTTTCTAAATCAATGGAGTAAAAAGAGAGAGAGAGAGAAAGATGGACTTACCTCAACAACTTTACGTTCATCTTTGAACCATTGAATGTTATAAATCTTGGTGGCACGAGATGCTGGCTCACAGGCAATTGTTGCATTACTACCACGACGTGTATAAATGTTGTGAAATTCTAGTTGTCCTAAATCACCTGTGCGTGGGAGAATTTTTTTATTTTTTTCCATTTTCGATTTATAAGTAGAAAAAAGGACAAAAGATAATGCAGTTTTGGTTGTGGTTGGTCGATGATCGGACGAAATGATTTGAATGCCACCAAACGAAAAAAAAACGAATGACATCATATGAAAAAAATTAGAAAAAAATCCAAATTAATTTCGATTCGGTTGTTATTATTATAAAAAGGGATAAACAGAAAAATAATTATTCATCCAATGATAATGGCTACAGTTGATTGGTTGAAATTATAAGGAAAATTTAAATTTTTTGTCCAAAATTTAATTTAAATTTGATTTGAATTTATATTGCCACATCAAGAGATAATGATAATAGTGAATTATTTTTAAATTACATAAAAAATGAACGAATAGGTAAAATTTTAAACAACATGAATGTTCAATTGACCAAAAATTGAATTTGTTAAATTTACAAGAATAACAACAACAACAACAACAAGATAAAGTATAAAGAAAATGAACAAACACACAAATCTTCATCATAAACAAAGTATAAAAAAAACACATGGGGTAATAAAATTTGAAATTAAACAATTTTAAACAAGTGATAATAAAATCTAGATACACACAAAAGACTAAATGTTTCCAATGAAATACACCTGGTGGAAACAACAGCGAGAGAAATTCTATAATTTATCTGATCTGATTATGGCTATATCGAGGGTGTGTGTGTATGTTTACCAATGGAAAAAGAGAGATTTTAACGGTTTTGTCAAACGACGAAGAATCAATATGCAGAATAAATCAAACTAGACAGATGTTTTTTTTTGTTCATTGTTTGTTGAATTATCATTATTATTATGATGAACATTTCAATAATAAATCCATATATGTACAGATGCAGAATAAAAATTATTTTTATTGATTCTAATAATAATCAAAATAATGAATTCGTGTGGTAAACAACGTGGTCACAAACACCACACACGCACACACACACACGTGCAGCTGCAGCTGTGCATCGCTCTGTTTTTTTCATTATGATTCGAAAGCACCTCAGAGGCTAGGTTCATATTTGAGCCCATTGGGAATAAGAGATTGGGTCTGAATGAGTGAAAGAGAGAGAGAGAGAACCTATTGAACTGTCGTGTGCATCTGTTCATTGAATTCATATTTTTAAATGTTTATTCATACGAAAAAGAATTCAGTAGAATTTTGATTCTTTGATTTTTTTTTGGCAATGACTACAAACTCACATAAACATCTGAATCGGAAACAATTTTCCCATCTGATTATTGAATTGAATTTTGAAATTTGACCTAGCCATTGTTGATAATTTGGCAGTTTCATTTGTACAGAACAATGAATATGAATTACAGTTCATTTTTTTGTAATTCATTGAAAAACTCGTTGTTGACCGGTGAAAATCAATGATGGAAAATGAAAAAAAATAAATAAGAACCTGAACTTGTAAGAAAAAACAACAGGTCTTTACATGAACACATAAACAGTGACGTCCGGTGTTGTTTTGTTATTATATTGGCCACTATAGCGATGAACCGACAGATGTGGAACAACATACGTGTCAAGTCTATGTGTATTGACGTCAAATTGTCCATAGTGAAGATCAATGTTTTGAAAAGAAACATTGTACGTGTGCTTGTGTTTTTGTGTGTGTGTGTGACCAAAACAAGCCATAGGCCATAGATCGAGACCATATATCGGTGAACATCTGTCGTACAAACAGGTCTCAAAATTATTGGTCAAAGGTTACCTTAGTTACGCGTTTGAACAGAAGATTTTGGATTTTTTTTTCTTCATTTGAGAAAAACTACTTAGCTCAAAGTAACTCGTATCTTTCTGATGATGGTGGTCGACAATTCAAGATTTCAATCTTTCAAAAAAGAAAGAAAATCTTTAAGATCCAATAGATGGAACATCTGTCATATACGGACTACCGTATACTGTGTGTGTGTTTTTTCCAATGAAACGTAAAAGTAGAATGTAAAAAAAAATCTACGTCAATTCAAACAAAAAAAAAAAAATTCTGTTATGGATCAAATTAAGATTATGATATTGATGATATCGATGATGATGATGATGATGATAACTAATAAACGTGAAGATGTTCAGTTTTCACTTGTTCTTTTTTTTCTGATCAATCTTTTTAACAATTGATCAATGAGATTTGTTGATGGAAAAAAAAGAGAGAAAGCCATGAACATAAAAATAAAGGGAAGTCACGAAGACAGATTTCATTTTGTAAACTTATTACAATCAATGATTATGATTGCTAAAATGATGATGTATGTATGGCTAACAAAAGAAATAAAAAAATAAAAAATTAACATTATGATGATGGATTGACAGCAAGAAAGAAAAAAAAAATAATAATTATGAAATAAATATTGGTCAAGCATATTTTCAGTGTGTGTGTGTGTGTGTGTGTGTGACTGTGATTGTTCCATTTGGAAATAAAATACATTGGCAGATGTATTGAATACAATATTGAAATTGGATATTGTCATCATCATCATCATAATCATCATGATCATCTTTATCATTGATGATGATAATCATTATACGTTGATATACGGAACAACAAATTGTTTTCCAAAATTTCAAAGTTCAACTCTTTCAAAAGTTTATGAGTTTTTTGTCTGTTTGTTGTTTGTGGGAGTATAATGCCATTGTCTGTTTTTGTAACTGCGTGTGTGTGTGTGTGTGTGCATTTGATATCAAGTGAAAACTTGAATTTATTTTTTTTCCAGTAAAATTACACCCAAATTTTTTTTGTTGTTGTTGTTGTTCAAATGAATTATGTTCTATTGTACAACTTTATTGAATCGATTCAATGTCGATGTCATATAAGAATAATGATGATGTTGTTGGGTTCGGTCAACATTGTTGATGAATGAGAATATTTCTGAATTTTTATTTTTTTTTTTGGAAAAGAATGTTTTCTTGGTTCATACAATGAATGTGTGTGTGTGTCCAATTAGGAAAAAATATCAACATCATAGTAGGACATATAAATCTTAAATAATCATTACAATGTGCCCGGATCAAATATGTGTGTGTGTGTGTGTGTGTGAGTGAACGTTTGCACGCAAATCATTTAATGATAAGATGAAATGTCTGTCAATACCAAACGTTAATTTCTCTTTGAATCTAATTTGTTTACGAAACATCATCATCGTCATCATCATGATCATAAGGATGGTAAATATCGTGATTATGTAAACTTGAATATATGGAAAAAAATGTAAAAAAATTCTCATAATTCACTTCATCATCATCGACAACCAAGAAAGTAAAAAAACACACACACACACACACACACACGAAGACCATAACATATTATTTGCTATATAATTACTATCTTTGAGGGGTAAAGGAAATAATACAATAAAAAAACAAAATTTGAATATTTAGTTCATCAATAATAACGATAAATCGACCAAAGATAGATGGATGGATGATTTGGTCATGCTTGATCCATTTTTTTCTGCTTAACAAATTAATTTGATTCTGCTGTTTCTGTAAAGACAAATCTCGACTTCCTTTTTTTCTGGAAAAATCATTTCTTCATCAAAAAAAAAAAATGCAAATGACAAATGACGAGCCCAACAAGAGAAACTAAACGCACGTGCAATCAACCAACCAACCAACCATTCTAAGGACCTATGGGACCTTGTCTTGTTTGTCAGTAATTAAGATTAGGCACCGAAGCATAGCTTACTTTTTTGGACTAATACAAAAATATGACAAGAGGTCACACTTTAAGAAGGAAGGAAAGAATCAATTTCCTTACAAACGTACTAACTATAACCTAACTATTTTTCTTTTTCTTTTTTTTTACTTTTCTAAATTGACGGATGTAAACAATTGTAGCGAAAATTTTTTTTTCTGCTTTGATTTTCGACAATTGAATCTCTTTCTTTTTTTTCTGCCTCAAATTCAAATTGAGGATGATGATGATGATGATAATGACTATTAGTCTGTTTATTATCAGAATGAATAGATATACTTGTAGATGTTTTCTACTACCAAAGAAAAATTTAGGTGAACTTTGGAGCAACAACAAGGGGTGGTGTGGTGGTGATGGTGGTTTATTGTTTGCTTGTATAGCTTGTTGTTCTGTATTTAAGTCGGCGTCAATTGAATTGAATTTATTTCAACAACAACAACAACAAAAGTCTGTGATGATCACATGATATGAATGGCTATAATGATGATGATGATCATGACAAGCCATATATATATATTCAAGGGGAGGTTTGTTATGGATTTTTGTTTCGCTTTGTTGAACACCCACTTTTTTTCCCAATAAATGAATTGAACAAAATTCTACAAGAGCGAAAAAAAAATTATCATAAAACAAGAATAATGATGACGAATGATGAAAATCTTTTCATGACATGTGTCACGGTCGGAAAAACATAGGACACATAGGTTTCTTGTATATCGGTGAAAACCAAAATATAAAAAAAAAATTCATGATTTCTTTTTTCTTCAAATGATGAATGAAAAACATTTGTAAGACACATACACCTAACGAAAGAAATAATCATTCCATATGTGAACAAAGTTTTTTCTCTGTATCAAATCTATCTATCTAACTAACCATTGAACCAAACCGAGCATAACCAACCAGATATATGTGAAGAAGAAGAAAATGACAAAACATAGAACTTGTGAACAAAAAAAAAAAGATTGAAAAATTCTCATTTTCTTCATAGCCACCAAAATAATAATGATTTCAAATTCTATTAAATATATTTCAATCATTTCCCCTTTGATCTTTGAAAATTCGAATTTCATTTTGTACATCAAATTATTGTCAAGTGATGATCATAGTACGGAAGAAAAGAGAGCGAGAGAGAGAGAGAGAAATCAGGGTCGTACAAGTAAATCACAATCAACAATTTATCGAAGTAAAATTGATTGATGGAAATTGAAATAAAAAAATTTTCAACAACAGTGATGTGTGTGTGTGTGTGTGTGTGTTTTGGAT